TGTTTCTTTCGACGTAAATTGACCACCCCCAAAATACAGGCGCGCTTCTCCGGCTTGACGCGTTCCCTCCTCTTGGAGAAGCCGGATTACGTTTACATGGGAGCGTATTTCTGGCGGAACGTTCTGGAGGTGGATGAAGTCGTCAAGGAGTTCATCGCGCAGCTCCTGCGGCCCAGCGCCGACACCTCCTGCGCGATCCAGGTCCCGCCGGACGGCTATGGGCCGGGGGACGAGGTTTCCTCTGACGATGACGACGCGGCCATTGTCGACGACGACTCCGATACCGATGAGGACAATTGAGCCGCTCGGGCGGGCCTAGAGAGGTCGCGAGCGTGTGCCCCTCCTCCGCCGCAGCGGCAGCCATCCCGGTCGCCTATCCATCGCTGTGAGGAGTCGAAGCTTGTAGAGAATTCGCTAACTTTTCTGCTCTCATCGTTGTGGTGTGGGCTTTTCATCTATTTTCGCGCGCCCTCGTTTCGGAGATTTTCACTTATTGTCTACGTTCGTCATTGCTGCCGTTCTCGCATCTCTTCGCTCATTATGTATTCGAGAAACTAGCCGCCATCTCTTGCGATGTTGCTTCTGCGTCGTGTTCCCCCTATGGGTGGACCTTGTTCGAGGTATACTAACTGACCAAACAGCGGAAGCGCTTCTGCTTACGCCTGTCGTATTGATGCCAAAAGCGGAAAAGCTAAGGCAGGGCCTCCCTGCGGCTTTTCGCGTTTCGCAACTCTGGCGGTGTTCGTAGCTTTCGCGAAAGAAAGACGGCAAGGAGCCCGATGGCGTACCTCGGTCGCTGTTTCTCTGTCGCTTTTCGCGTTTCGTGTTTCGCAGTACTGGCGGCGTTTTCGGCTTTCATAGTACACGGAAACCAATGAGCCTAGTGGCGTACCTCGGTCGTTGTTTCTCTGTCGTTTTTCGCGTTTCGTGTTTCGCAGCACTGGCGGCGTTTCCGCCTTTTTTAGTATAACAAAAGCAATGAGCCTAGTGGCGTACCACCGTGAAAGTTCCCGGTCGCTTTTCGCGTTTCGCATTTCGGGAGCCGCCTCCCCCTTCTCTTTGCTTACTATATTAATTATTTAAGGAATAGGCTTTGTATTTCTTTCGCTTTTCGTGTTTCGCAATTCAAGCAAGGAGGCCAGCTACTCTCACACTTTACACAACACACCCACACACACACACACACACACCAAAAACGCCCCTCATGCTATCGCTTTCTTCTATTTTCTGTGTTCCGAAGGGATCCGCGTTCTCACCAAATCACGATAGTAATCCAAGCCGTTGCACTTGTTGCAGGTAAAAAAAAGGTAGGTGTTTCGCCTTTAATTCTGCTTATTTGGCCGCGTGCCAACAACAACAACATCGTGATGATGCTTTAGTACGGTTCATCAAAAAAGCTAGTTTTGAAGGTATGACAAGAATGTTGATGACACGTATGGTGCCCGTGGGCATGCAGATGCTCATGCAAATCGACATCGAAATCTAGATTTGGTGGCATTCGGTTCCATCCGTACTTCCAAAAATTCCAGTTGCTCCTTCGGGTCCAATTCCTGAACGGAGATTATTGTGTCGTGGTAATCCCACACCCCCGGAAACTTATGGTCCTGTTCGTCAGGCGTAAACAGGAGGGAATTCTGTGGAGGTGGAGGACGGCCGTCATAATCCTGGCCAAAGTAGCGTCCTCTGGAAAAACTACGTCCCCGGGACCCCACAGTCAAGACTATGAATTGCAAAAGCATCGCACTCGTATAAATGCATTACAAATGTCTCAGCATGAGAAAATTTGTAATGCTGATCTAAATCAAGAAAAAGATTTGTGATGCATGATTGCAATACGAGTACGATACAGTTGCACAGGATAAAGACGCGAGCTCTGCTACAGATAGTATGCATAGCTACATAGCTCAAGAAGTTTTTCTCCGTCCACGTCGTAGGCGGGGACGTGCACGACAAACGCCTTCCTACGGGAGTCGCGTAGATATAGTTTGTGTTGACTACTCACTTAAAGATGAAGGAGTGAAGATCGAAAAACACGGTATGCTTGGATGCGCTTGAGAGCGCGCTCATCGATCATTAATTCAATACTGTTATGCAAGTATTGCAGCGTCTGCGTCAGCGTCACAACTCTTACTTTTATCTTGCCGCCTCCAAACCGGGCATGTATTTAAACTATTCGCAGTATCGCGTCGATAATGGGAATGGGTCAGGGACGGACTGTTCACACAGGATAGCATGTCGCTCACAACTATCCTGAGAAAAAGCGTACGTACCCCCTCGTGGTCCTATGCTATGGTCCAAAGTACACAAATGAAGCAACGCTTGGGAGAAGTCATGCATGACAGAGCCCGGCGCGGGCGGGCTCGCAGCAGGAGCAGCAGCTGCTGGTGACTAGCTAGTATTATAACCCCGGCCGCATCACAAACTGATGAACACCCTTTGCTCATTAGAGCATGCAACCTTGTTCTGAACGAGCATCAAGAAAAATCCCTCTCACGCGAAGCCGCATTAAAAACTCTCCTCATGGTTGTCGTTGTACTTGTATCCCAGGCTACATGCATGACAAGTAAAAGTACGGAGAGGCGCCCACGTTTTTGAACAGGATAGTCACCTTTTGCATCTCGGTCGGGAACGGACCCAAAAACGTGTCATCGTCAAAATTACCGCTTTATCCACTGCAACTGTGTCTGGGTCGGGATGATAATAGTGGAGTTTGTCATGCCAATCGTACATGGCCCGCGAAAATGCCTGTGATGCATGCTCTAGCATCACCGCTCTAACGGAGCCGGAGGCTTGCTCGTGCCTATCCTTCATGAGAACTGCCCCCGCCTCGTCCGGGCGGTGGCAACAGTCTGAGTGCCTTTTGCTGCTCATGCAGGCCAGGTTTTCCCATGATCGAAAGTTAGTAAACACAAACGCCATGCTTTTCAGACCCAGACATATTTGCAATCCATACATTTTCTCCGGGAACGGGGATATCGAAGTTATCTGCTGAGACGAAGTCATCTGAAATAAACTTCTTCCGCCCTTCCCCTTCGCGTAGTTCTTTTTTTTCTTCCGTACCTTGCTGCTGCGCAACTTGCTGGTGACTTCGTCCCTGTTCTACTTTTTCTCGTTGTGCTTGTTCCTTTTTTCCACCTTCTCTCTCCAACAACGTAGAACTACTGCTCTCTTCCGCTGAGGCACGACGAAACTCGGCTTTTTTCTCGTTTTCCTGCGCCTTATAGCCTGCTCAGGTTTTACGATCTCAAACGCTACAATAGAATAATGGAAATCTGTGATGTTAGAAGTGCATTATCTACCCAACTCTCATAGGATTGCACATGACAAGCTCCGGCGTCCCAAACCGCACTACAATCCGGCAAAATTTGTATATGCAGAGAGTGGAATGCTGTCCGAGTCTGTCTTGCTCGTCATGCAATACGAAATCCAGATTCTATTGTAAACGTTTGAGATTGTAATGTATGCGCAGGTCATATTCCTGTGTTCGTTCTTCTAATGTGGTTTTCATCATCTCTTCGGCTTTTTCATTTTCCAGAAACGCCGAGCTACTCGTGCTGGACGGAGGCGAGAAATTTTGGTCTTGATGAAGAACTGCTGGCGCGTCCTGCTCGGCGGAGTCGTGTCAGGTCGCGGTCGTGCTGCTGCTCGAAGATGATCCTGTGATGCCAGCAGCCGCAGCTTCCGCTTTGTTTTGTCTCACTTCTCCTGTCGGGCGCCGATCTGTTTCAGGCGGCACAGCCGCGAAGGAGGAATCCTCATCCACAGAAGATGCGGGGTCGGGGTCACCTGTACTAGCAGGCGATACAACTCGACCTGATACTTGCGAGCTAGATTCCGCTTTTTGAACTTTGTCCTTCTCGACCCGCAGCGCAAAGACCAGAAACGTGGTGGAGGGAGCCGGGGCAGGTTGGAAAATCCTGCTCGCGTTTGATGTGCTGGTGAGGTGCTGCACACTGGAGGGGGCGGACCGCAGTGTCTTGTACTCGGACATCAAAAGGTCCTCGATGTGGTTCTCCTTCAGTAGTTGTAGATGAAAAAATGATTCGAAAGCGGCCAGAAGGACTGCAGTGCAGGAGGCGAGCAAAAGAGCTAAATTCCATTGTTGAAGACGAAAGTGCGGAGCAACGTGGCGCAGCACCCGCGGTCGTACCACGACGCAACAAGAAAAACTCCGCGGGGGACGGCCACGACGCCGGCGGTTGTACACGATCACGCTTTGGTCCTCACCCAACATCGTTTCTTCTTTATTCTTAGTAGTAGAACGCCAACTACGCGCGTCGGTGATCGAAGAAAAGTAGGAACCGCCCGTCGGGGAACAAGAGCTGAAACGGGTTGTGGTCAGAGGAGCCGCCGATATAAAGATTACGAAGTGGAGGCCGCCGCGTTATCAGTCGTATCGCCCGTTACTGACAAGGTCGCACACAAAATTGTGTCGTTCTTGTATTAGTCCAGGGACTTCTACTAGTCCCGCACCACGGCGACGAGATGCAATCCGCTGCGGGAAGAGCGTAGGTGGCCGCACGATAAAAAATCGAAGTATAATTCCGCCAAAATGTTGACTCTATTTCAACACTCAAGTAGCGAACATAGCTCGTTAGGATATTCATAGGGTATAGCGAATCAATCAAGTGTACTTAAAATAAGCGTGCTAGCCAAGACCAGATGGCTGGTTTGTGGCGGACTGGAAGGAACTTCTCCCACACACTCTCAGATTGCTGACACTCAAAGTATCCATCTCCCTCCAGCACTTCTGTTGAATACAAGTGCGCCCAAGTATCGCCTCAAGAAGTAGAACCACACAAAAACAGACGGGAAAACACGTGTTCTACCTGTTGTACAAGAAGACACCTCAAGCCATTATTAGTTTTTGTTTCCCTACCCCTCATCGCACTCCCTTGCAAGAACATCCCACTCGAAGGTGATAAAACTTGCCACAGGAACTACAGACATGGGAAATGACTGCAGCAGCACACCAGGAAGAGGAACCAAACAAGTTTTGCATTTGATTTCATTTCTCTGGTCGTGCATAGTCTAATTATTGCGTCACCCTCAGAGGTTATCTTGATCTTACGATACATTAGCGAAACCCGGTTTGTTCATGTAGTTCATTTGTTCTCAGAGTCACAACTGTCGTTAGATTTTCATCTTTCTAGAGAAGTTCATGTCCAGGCGTGCAAAGACACATCAATCCGTGTTTATTCATGATGAGGCCCGCACCTTGTTCAGTCTTCAAAATTTTCATGAAACACGACTTCGCAGTTTTCCACTTTTTCCGTGAGAAACTTCCATTTTCGCCGGAAGTGCTGCTCCAGCTCGACCTGCAAAAAAGGCGGATACAGCTCCCATGCGTTTTTCCATTCATGCACGACGACTTTGTGTGTCAGCATATGAATTGCAAAAGTGTCTGAGTCTGGAAGATTGCAACTTGTCATGGTAAATCTCGAGCATGCAAAAATCTGTGTTGCATGAGTCCCAAAAGCGGTATACTTTTGACCAAGTTGGAAGGAGGTTTCTCATGCAGGATTGGCATGGCAGAGACCTCGCATAGTCTGTCATGCTAAGTCCCGCATTCCAGACCTCATGGGTCATGGAAAATCTGCATGACAAGTCTACACTTTTCCAGACCCAGACATTTTTGCATTTGATACAGCACGCTGCAAGACGATGAACCAGGGCTCGTTCTGTCACCACGCGTGCAGGTCTTCAATTCCTCTACCACCGGACACAGAAACGGGCCGATAACTCGTGATCCCAGCAACGGGTGCTGAGCCTGTAGCTCCGCCGGCGCAGGGGCCGCAGCCGGTTGCTGTACCGTAGCTGTATCAGTTGAGATCATCTCTAGTGCACGTGCTTGCCCAGAAGCACCACAAGTGGATCCTTGTTTATCGGTCCTTATCTCGTCGTCGCTGGAAAGAGAAACACCTTCGTGTTGTATCAAACCCTTCCGCACTTTCCTCTCCAGTGTTTCCCAGATGTAGGAGTAGCGCGTTACTCTCTCTGGCGCTAGGTTGCTATCCCGCATCTCTTCCAGAGAGAGCGAAACGCGATCCCGCACTGTCTCTAGCAACTCCTGGGCATCTGGCTCCAAGCAACGCAGATCGGCCGGTAGGCAGTGCGCCGTGGTCTTCAGAAGCAGCAGATCGCTCAGCAGGAAAGAATCCGTTGTTCCTCCGCTGGTCGTGCTGGTGCTCGTCGTCGGCTGTTGTTTCTTAATAGCCGAACTTGTGTTAGCTCCTGAGCTGCCCTGGTATTCGCCGTCAACAGTTGTAGGAGAACTCTGTTCAACATCTACTTTCAGTTCCTCTGCCGTCTGATCGTTGCCACCGCCATTTGCAACATTCGGGTACTCCGGATCCTGATCGTTGAGCCTGCCGTTCTCCGTAGCAGTAGGTGGACGACTCCAGTTCGTAGCACCAACATTGGTAAAAACCATAGGCGAGGACGAGTCGCTTCCCTTCCCGGACTTCCTCCGCAGGTGTTCGACAACCACTCTCTCCTCCAAAACCTTCAGATTCCACATGCGGAAAAGCCATAGATTGAGTGTCTGCAGCGAAAACCGGTCCTCTACAGCAAGAGTGAACCCCGCACGCAGAAGCAGTTCGCTGCTCTGCCACCCGTAAATCTTCTTTCGGATTTTCTTGTCAAATTGCGGGGAAAAGGTCCTTTCCGTCCGTTTTGAGGCAAACTTGACGAAAAAGACGGAAAAAGTTTTCAAACAGTCGGAATCCAGGTTCGAAAAATGTCGTCCGGCGTGCCGCACAAGCAACTCGAGCAGTTCCTGTTCCTCGTGGCAAAACTTCGCGGAGAGCAGCGTCCGCAACAGCTGCACTACCTGGTAGCCGCGGAGTTGTCCACAACTATCGATAGAGTCGATAGTCCCGGATGATGTAGTTGAACTTCCGTCACCTCCCATCGGCCTGGGTGCTGATGAATTTAGCCGGTTTAGCACCTCGGCGAGAAGCAGATCAAAATCAGGAGAGCGGCGCCAACTCCGGGACATCGAACTTGAAGACCCTAGCACACCTGCTCTTGAGATCGTGCTGCCGTGCGATAGTGATTGTGATGTGTACTTCTTGTACAGCTTCCCTTTCACGACGGCATACACGACATTTACCAAGTCCGAATCCGAAAGCTGGCTCGCGGACTTGACACAGTGACGCAAGAGGCTTTCCGCGGTTTGCAACAGCCATTTTTTTTCCGTCTTCCGGATCCTTGTTGAGCATTTCGCGCAGGAATGCGCGAGGAGCAGGAGAAACTTCGTCAGCTGCTTGGGGGAAAACGCCGCGGGAACAGCCATCGAGGCTGGTTCGCTTTTGTCTAACGTCCTCGCACGGGGAGGTTGTGAAGGGCCTTGACGTGTTGAAGAAGGTGGGACACCTTCTTCACGTAAAATGTCCGCGCTAGAAGTACTCGTCAAGTCTGCATTTGTAGTACCGGTGCTCTTCGCGCGCTTGTTCTTATTTTGATGCGAGCCTAGTGGTGCTTCGCTTGTCTCGCCCGCGGTAGTACACTCCTCCATATTACCCACCTCGGCAGCCAAAATCTGTTCTCTGCGTCGCCTTTTCCGTGCAGAGTTCCGGTTGTCATTGACAAGAAACGAGTTCAGACGTGCTTGCTGCGAAGCGGCGGCAGAGCTCGTTGCGGAAAACCGCGTTAGCGCCTCGTCGTCGTCCAGAGTAGAATGGTTTACACCATGAACATAGTGGTTGCCTTCGGATCGTCCTACACTGCCATCACTTTCCCCAACTGGTCGTGCATCTTCTTCCCCTCGTCCAAGAGAGAAACCATCAATCTCGGCAGGCAGAAAGTCTTGTCTCGCCCGTTTGCTGATTTCGCTGGTTAGCTTGGTCCACACGACGTCTAGTTGTTCGGGATCAGTGTTTTCGGCGTTGTGGTCATCGCGGAATTGATTGTCTGCACCGACACCGAATTTATTTTCGTGTTCATCGAAGAGCGCCGTGTTCTTGGGGAGAGATCGAGCAGATGCAGCACAGCCTCTGGAAGATGCTGGTGTAGTAGGAGTGTTTTTACTCGCTACAGCTCCTCCACTAGTATTTTTCCAACGTGCGTTTTCTCTTGCAGTTTGGTTGTTCATCAAGTTCGCCAGATTTTTGCATGTGTATTGGTACAGCTCGTGATTGCTCATAAGATTGACGAGTTGTGCCTCGTGCAGTGGTTGTGATTTATTCTTCGTTTCATCATCTCCAACCCCGTTTTGTCTTCCGGTCACGGATGCAGTCCGCGCACTATCAAACAAACTAGCCGGGTCGCCGGTAAAGATATCACCTGCTGGAACCGCCCCTGTCGGATCGCGCTTATCTGGCAAACGCAGCGACGCAATCGATCTGGCGGTGGTTCTCGGCCGTCCAGTGATCACACCACGAACACCACGTCGCGGACAAGGGAACGGCACTATTCGCGATTGAGGTAACATGATGCGGAACGTGGCGCGCACCTGCAGGCAGGTTTTATTTTCCTGCAGAGTCACTATTCTGTTGGTGGCGATGGCAACCTTGGCTGCGCTGAGTTCTACCGTGCGCCCAGAAAAATCTCTCTTGTTGATCACTAGCAGCAGAAGATGAGTTCCGGACTGAAGTAGACGACAGGACACTACCCAAGGAGAGCCGAGCACTCGACGAAAACCAGTGAACACGAACCAAGGTAACGAAAATAAAGAAGCAGAGTTTTGGCAGGATCTGCATACATATGTTCCACGAACGAAGGAACAATCTCGCGGAATGCCGGTCGGCGGGCCGGCTGCGTGGGTGCAACACCGGCCCCCGGCGCCCTTCGTTCCTAGGTAAGAAAGTAATTTGCTGGGACCGGCGGCCGGGCCCTGCTTCCTGGCTAGCCTCCACCCCAGCCCCCACTAGCGCCACGCCCGGAATGCCATCCGCACAGGAAGGCACGCACGCAGACTGACAGGCAAGGAGGCGAGCCCGGCCCCCCTGCCTCTTTCTATCGCGGGGCCGAGCGCGGCGGCATTGGGGCGCGGGCGATGGGCGCACCCAGGAGCGCGCCGCCAGGCACAGAGCCCAAGACCGCCGGCGGGCTCGCGCCCGGGCTGGCGCGCGTATATGGGGCCCGGGCGCCTAGTGGCCTGGCGGGGGCAGCCCCGGCAAGCTAGAGAATGGCCGGCGGTCCGTCTCGTTACTTCTTTGGCCTGTTTCCTTGCGCTGCCGGCCTCATACGTGCGGGGGCATCTCGGTCGAGCTGTTCCAGGTTGGAACGCTGGAGCGAAGGAAGGGCCGCGGCTGGCGCGCCACGAAGGGGGGCCCGAAGGAATGGCCGCGGCTGGCGCGCCTGCTAGGCTCGAGAGGTTCGCGCGGAAGGCAGGCAGCCGGCCGCGGCCGGCCAAACAACACCGCCGGCGCGAAAGCCCCCGCGCGGCCGCCATAACAGAAGAGAACCGGCGCCCAAGCCGGGCCCGCGGTGGCCGCGGGCGCGGACCAAATGCCGCGGGCGACTGCATTGCACTCCCTTCGGCGGCAGTTGGGGCGACGGGCCACCTCATCGCCAAAGACCCCCCGGCCGGGCAGGGTGCTTAAGTTCGCGACTGCTGGCTAGCAGGTACCTGCGCAGCTAAACCCGGTCCAGCCACCGGGCCACCGGAGGCAAAGAAAGTCGGGGCCTATTGATCAACAGCCTTGACGCAGCTTCGAAAACAACCATGACGAACACCGCACGATAGCGTTCCTTTTCCAAGAGAAGACGCGGCGAAAACGCCCCTCAGAAATGGGTCGCAGGGCTGGGCAAGTTCAAGTGCCGCCACTTCATGCCCCTCACTTGTTCACCTCTGCTTTTTTGTTCTGAACAGGGCGCAAGTCAACATTTAAGCGTGCGAGGGTTGTATTACATTCATATGGGGGAATTATATTGCCGCGCAACTTCTTTCTGGGAAGTAGAAGTAGTCGTTTGTTTCGCTTCGAGGATGCCGAGGCCTTTGTTGAGGGAGTATTTCGCAACAACAAACAAGAGTTCCAATATGGAATCTTCACCATCATCGATTTTCATTTTGTTTTGATGATAGCAAGGTCTTGTCCAGCAAATGACCCCTGCGTTGAGTATAGCTCATACTCATTAATTTGTATGCTTCAGTTGCGCCCTGGTCCTGATCTTACTTTGCAAAGAAGATCACAGAAAGTGAGACCTTCAACTTCAAGCGATCGAAGGAATAGATACGTCAGTGTAAACTGAAGTAGAAAAACAAAGAATCCTAGGTAAGTGATCAGCTGTAAAACTGCAGCCCTTCCCGGGTGAGAAAGCCGGCAGTTTTATGCTGACACCACACTAAAATTTTGTACTGAAGTAGAAAAACAAAGAATCCTAGGATATTACAATCCAAACCCAGAATACAAAGTGTAATTCCAAATTTGCCTGTAACACAATTCTAGTACTTGTCGCGTCGTCTTTTTAGAAGCGAAGGAGCTCGTCGTAATCAGTATTAACAACATCGAGCTACCTTTCATTACTCTATCCTCCCCACTACAACTTCTACCTCTTCGACCCACCTCTCCTTTTTCTTTTTTCATTCGGTCCACTTTTTCCGCAGCAACTTCGAGCATTCTTCCACAAAAACGTCATCCTTCGCCCCGTGGTCGTCTATCGCGGCCTGCACCGCGTCCTTCACTTTCTGCAGCACGGGATCCTTCAACTTGTCTGCCGGAATTTGGTCCAACGTGCAGGCCAGGGCCTGGCGGTACCCGTCCTGCTTCTCCGGGGAGCAGTTCGCGGCGCCGCTGGCTTGACAGGAGAGGTTATTCGCGAGTTCTTGCAGAAGGGAATCGGTCCTTGGGTTCAGCACAACCAAGACGCCGAGGGACTCCGCAGCCTTGGACCGAACCTGGTGCGAAATAGACAATTTTTTGAGGGAGAAATTTTCTACGAGTAAAAAACTTGTTGTAAATGCTGGCACAACAACATCCTAAGCAGGTCGCTGTGTCTGTCATTCTGACTGTCAACTAGAACTACCTACTGCAGGTCTAGGCAAAAAAGTTTTGCAAAGCCCTTCCCGAAACTTATAACCAGAACAAAAATTATACCTCTCCACTCGTAGCGTCCGTGAGACACTTCAGATACGTCGTCTGCAACTGCGGCAGGAAGGGCCGCAAGGACGCGCCTCCCTTCTTCAGCAACAGTTCCAGCGTCTCCAAGATCGCGATTCGTACGTTCGGCGGAAACCGGTCCCCGACAATCCGGATCAGCGGCCCAGTGATTTTCACCACGTACGGCTTCAACGCCGCTTCCGTTGTGTGATCCACTAACTCTCCCAACCCCTTCGCAGTATGCATTGCAAATATATCTGGGTTTGGAAAGATGCAAGGTTTGTCATGCTTGGCTAACAGGACTCTCAAGTCTGTCATGCGGGTTACTCAAAAGCCTCATCCTTTTGTCATGCAGGAGCTCACTTTGTCGTGCAGAATAGACAACACTGTGGCGCCTCCAAAACTTGTCATACTTGGCAGTCAATCGAGCCGTCGTGGTCGTCTTTCTCCACCAGCATCACAAGTTTCCACTTCCAGACCCGGACATATTTGTAATGCATACGCAGCTAACAACCGCAATTCGTTGGACCCGTACATCAGTCCGTGCTGGTAGATATGCATTGCAGAAGTATCGTACTCGTACAAATGCTATGCATTACAAATTTCCTCAGCATGAGAAACACAATTTCTAATGCAGATTTACCTTCGGGAACAAAATTTGCAATGCAAGACTTGCATTTGTACGAGTACGATACTTTTGCAGAGCATAGTAGATCGGATAGAAGGGTTCTAACCCGTTCGGCAACGCCAAACCGGGGAGCTATTACAGTGAAAAGTGCCCCCCACCCCTGAAATTGCAATAATTTGTGATGCAAAGTTTCCAAATGAAAGGTTTTTGTCATGCATAAAAGGAGTATGAATCTTTGTGATGCAGAGTCTAGGTGTGTGTCGCAGCGCTTGCATGACAAGCGCCGCTCTTGCTGGGATCTTTTGCAATACAAATTTTTGCTATTCACGATCGGAAATCTGTCATGCTGATACATGCTAGGGGGCGCATGTTTCATTTGGAAAGGTTTGCAATACAAATGCTCCCAAGTTCGGGGGTGGGGGCGTTTTTCATTGCAATAGGAGCGTCATGCCCTTTTGTTCGGTCGATTTCGTACCCGATTTGTCGGTGACGGACGCTTCTTTGAGGATTAATTCCCGCACCTGCTCGAGGTACAGGGATTGGTCCTCTTTTTTCGCCATTTTCGTTAACGCTTGGAAGGCCTTGAAGTTCTCCTTCAGGGCAAACTCATCCGGGTCGGAAACCGCGATCGGGAGCAGCGTGTCCAGGATCAGGTCCATGATACCTTGGATTTCATAAGTGGAAGTACTCGTATTGCAGTCATGCATTACAAATGCTGTTCCTAAGGTGGATCCGCATTACAAATTTCATTTCTCATGCTGAGGGAATTTGTAATGCATTTATACGAGTACGAGAGTTTTGCGCAGGATAGTAAATTTCCATGCGTATACCGAACAACTTGAGTTCGTCACGCACACACAGCATGGCACATATATTTCAACGAGCACCTCCTTCACACGTATTGAAAAAGACATTGATTAATCTTACTTGGCATCTCCGCGTTGGTCTCTTCAAAAAAGACCCTCAATAAAATCCCGCCCGCCGCACGCATCCTGCCCCGCTTCGAGGATAAGCACTGCCCCAACTCGCCCAATATGATGTTCGATCCCGTGCTCGTCACCTTCTGCAGCAATTTCCGCCCCGCCTCAACTGCGTCATCGATAAAGTCTGCCTGGTCTTCGCTCGCCAAGGTTTCCAGAATTGGTTCTAACACGTCGGTGATATGGCGGTAAAACAAATGTTCGTCTTCCAACTTCGACAGGGTCGACAATCCGTACAATTGCGCCGCACTTTGCCACGGCGGCCCGGCTTTGGGTAGCGTTTCTAGAATCACCGGCAGAACCATGTTCGACTGCCGCTGCAGCAACTGTTCCAGGCCGTCGAGACATCTCGTGTCGCCCTTGGACAAGCCCTTCAGCAAGCCAGTAATGATCGGATTCGTCGCGGAGGTTCCGACGGAAGAGTAGAGTAACGCCGCGACTTTCGAAGCGGCGTTGCGGACCGATTCGGAGTTGTCGCACAAAGCTTGTCTCACCGCGGGAACAAGCTCCGAAACGTAGTCGACGAGCAGTTGGCGGGAGCAGTTGTTGATTAACTCTGTTAATCCAATACAGACACCCTCGCGGACCTGTAGACGAGGTTGATTTTATGTTCATTTTAATATGCGTGATGTTACTGTTTTCAGTGAAGCTCCTGTAGCTGCGCACGATACATAGCACTGTGAAGATTGTGTGCATGCATAAGTAAGACCTGTTTTCATCATCAGACTGTGTGATTCTTTGTAAGTACGTCGTCACTGAAGTTTATTCGGGAGTAGACCAGCCGCACCTGAAAAAGACCCAGCGGAGAACCCCTCCGACGGATCAACTTCGTGGTACAAGACTGGAAAAATCTCGAATTATCAGCATCTACTATCCAGGATCTGCTTCTGTCATCATGATGGTTCATCTCTTGTACCACTGCGGTGGTCATCTGTGATCATGTGTGTACGGCACCGTGAATTAGAATTATCTCCCATGTTGAACAAGATGCTAAACCTAAAACGCGCATCATCAACAACACAAGTAAAAATACCAATTCCGTGCTTCCGTCTGTCGTCAGTGCTTTGAAGAAGATCGGCATGAGTTCTGGCAACACTCTGTCGCCCAACTTCCCCACCAATTCTCCCACGCACCGACTTGCGCACACCTGTTTCTCCTTCGAAGCGGAGGCAAGCAAGTGGATCAGTCTTCGCATTAGAATCGGCAGTAACTCCCGGACGCACCGCGGCGTGTTCTGCACGAGTTGCTTCCAAGCCGACGTGGCCGCGTGCTTCACCGCACCAGACTCGTCGGATCGGACAATGTACAGGGAGGACAACACGTAAGCGCGACGCTCCGGGGGCATTACCTGATTGTTTTTGATCATCATGATATCGTGGGTTCACGCAAGACAAATCTTCGACGTTTCGAACGTCGGGCGCCGATAAAGCTGTGATGCACACAATTACGCATGACAAGAAGCAAATGTCATGCCAAAACTGCATCCGAAGCTATAGCCCTTAAGTACCTCCGCGCTCATGAGATCCACGTTATTCGTATTCATCCGGTTCGCCTTCAGCACTGACTCAATCACGTTCATCAGCAGCAGCACGGACGCGTGGCGTATCCTGTAGTCCACCTCAAACAGCCCCTCCTCCAAAGGTGGCAAAATCAGCGCCGTGTAGGTCGCGCCAAACTGCTTGCAAATACTGCTCGCCGCGCGGAACGCGACATCCCGCACCGTTTGGTACTCTTCCTGCATACCGCGCAGTAAGCCATCCAGCGCCCGTTGGAACCACTTCTCGAACGACTTCCCGCCCATCGTCAGGGGCAAGTAGACGAACAAGCCCAGGTACCCCTCCTTCACCTCTGGTGGGGTGTTTGGCGCCGCGGCAGTTTCTAACAAATCGGGTAAGAAAGCGTCGACTCGGTTGGCCCCGAGTGCCATCAATACTTCCGACAAGCCGTGCGCCGCACCGGACCGTTCCACGGGGGATTCCTTGGATTTCAGCATGGTGAATAACCATGGAAGCAAATCGCCGAGTAATTCCTCCGGCAGACCCTGGGCGAGGGTGCCGAAGGCTTTGGCGGAGGTGGCGCGGACGTCCGGGATGGGGTCCACGAGGGTGATTTTTAGGGCTGGGAGGAGAACCGGTAAGTGCGGTTGAATGTCCTTGGGCTCCTTGATAAGGAGAACCATGGAACCGATGATTTGGGCACCTGGAGGTGTGATAAAATTTATTTTTTTTTGAGCAGAGCCGTTTGTTCCAAATGCAAGAAGTGTTGATGCCCCCGCCCTGAAAAACAATCATCAACATCAAATTGCTGCAAGTCGCAACAATCAATGGACGAAGTACTTGGTTGTGCAGACTATTTTCAGAACAGCGGAGAAATGTTGTCAACAAACTGCAACTTCCGAAAAGTCCCAATTCAGTTCTGTTGAGCTTGAATAGATGAGAAGTCATCATTCTCTTGTGTACTTTGTTTCCATCGATCTCATGCACAACCAATGAGAACCAAGCGCAGTCGGTGATGCTGATGCGTAAAGCGCAAAAATATAAACGTACCTTTCCTCTTCATTTCCGCACTTCTCTCGCGCAGGGCCCGCAAGACCAGTGGACACAGCAAAGCCAGCGACGGCGCGTCCACGTTGTGCACGAAACTGGTCGTCAGCAAGGAATCCAGCGCTTTTCTCGTGCTGTTCTCCGTCACGGTGGAGAGACAGGTCAATAACTGCGGCGCTAATTGCCGGATCTCCGGATTCGAGATCACTTGTCCCACGCGCTCCATCGCGAGTTTAGCCGCGTCTTTGACCTTGGCGTGCGTGTCGTTCACCACTTCCGCGAGGACTGGCACCACCTTGGGTAAAGACACCGCGAGCTGCTTCGGCGCACCTTGCACCATCGAGGCCAGCATTTCGATAGACGCCAGCTTCGTGCGCCACTGCTTGTCATCGATACCTAGAGTGAATATATGTGAAATTTTGATTTTTGTTGATCATGCCAAGAACATCAATTCTACGATGAACGGACACGAGTTTGCGATTTTTGTGCTGATCTTCATGCATATTTACATGGAATCGATCTGTATCTGATCTATGAAAAACTCAAAAAAAATCACTCCTCAGCCAGTTGTAACACGTAGTTGTACCTTCCAGCAAATGCGGCAGCACCAATTTGACTCCGTGCGCGCTCAAATTTCCCATAATCGCCTTGGCCGTCGACTGCGTCGCGGTCCGCACAATCGGCGCGGAATCCGCAAAAGCCTTCAACAAGATCGGCAATGTCGCGATCACATAGGGTTCAAACAACCGTCCGAGAGATCGCGTCAACCCCTCCAGGCACATGATCGCTCCCTGCTTCGCCTGGGAGTTTGACTGCTTGCCGTTAACGATCTGCTCGATCTTGCTCATAATGTCGAATTGCTTCAAGGTCTGGATCGACAACCCCTTGACCACCGCCCCAAGCGCCAACGCCGCGCCTCTTCTGACTGTCTCAACCTTATCGGTAAACGCGACGTCGAGCAGATCCAATAACTTCGATTCAATTGTCGACTTCGAGTCCAACGGGATATCGGGGTCGGAAGTCAGTTTCGCGTTCTTCTCCACTTGCAATTGCATCTTGATCAAGGGCGGCAGAACCTTCACGACGGCGAGTTGCATATGGATTGCAAATAGGTCTGGGTCTGGACTTGTAATGCTAAAAGTGAATGATAGACGCATTGCGATACGCAGCTATGCATGACAATTAATTTGGCTGCCATGTCCTACGTATTCCGCATGGCAAACTTCGTTTTTGCATGACAGGTAAGAGGACTTTTTCGTGCCTATGCAACACAGATTCTCGAGTCATACCAAACAAGCATGACAAACTTGCACTCTTCCAGACCCAGACAATTTTGCATTTGATATTGCACCGAGTTGGACGATTTCGCGTCCAAACACTGGGTGAATAACCTCGGTAAAATCGCCCTCGTGCTGTCCGAATTTGGGTTCAAAAACTTTCCCAGCGCGCCGGAAAAGACCGCGGACCCAAGTTGCGATCCCTCAGGAGTAATTGCCGCGATTTCCAACTCATCGACAATTTTCGCGAGTTTCTCCCCCTGTGATTCCCCCAACACCTCGATCAACGCGGTTCCCGACGCGATCAAAAGCTCCCGGAGGTCGCCGAAAAGTTGGATGGCCGGGTCGATTTCTTCCAGTTCGGGAGAAGATTTGTTTTCGTCCTTTTTGTCGTCCTTCTTCACAGACCGAACGTCTTCGATGGTAGATTTCTCCTTGACTTCCAAATCCTGCAAGCGGTCGTCGTGTAAAGCCACGTGCAGTAAGAATCGTAAGAAATCCTCCCCCGTCGTCCCGTCCGCAATGCTCGCGGGTGGAAGTTGCACGAGGTTGTTGTGAGACAAGATGTGTTTGAACAGCAAAACCAACCCGTATTTCGCGGTCCAGTATTGCTTGCGGTTGATCTCATCTAACTCCTCGATCTCCTTCTCCAGAGCGGACTTCGGCGCGTTGCTCCCGGTCAAAAACTTTTTCGCCTCGACCGCGGCCTTCTTGTCTTCCGCGAGTTTGTCCTTTTTGAGTTTCAAATTCAAATAGAACTCTTGCTGTTTCAGGATTTCGCTGGTATACGCTTGTTTCAAAATGTCGAATGCATTCCGCACGTAGTCCTCATTCGTCTCGAGCGGTCGGCCCGTTTTGCACAAGGACTTGGCTTGGGTGTTAATTCTGTACTGCTTCTCTTGCACCAGTTCCAACAGTTTCAGCATCGCCAGCCCGCCGAGCTTCTGGATCTCCCGGGCTTCGACGATGGGGGCGGGGAGGATTCCCTTGATGATTTCCAGCAGGTCGGGAAGAACTGTCGTAGTTGCGTCAAGACTGTCGGTCAACCCGAACGATTCGTAAATTTCCGCGGCAAGGGACTGGTCGGATGAACTTGGGTTATTTTTACCATCTGTATTCCCGTTTCGCATTCCGTCGTCTTCATCGTGGTTGTCGTTTCCAGCTGCACTTCCTCCCCCACTTCCAGCGCTTTCACAGAGCCCGATCAGCAAAACCGCGTGGAACGCTTGCCTCGCGGTAGTCGTCTTCATTACGTAATAGTTCTGCAGCAACGCCGCGATACCGGGGAGCAAAACTACCTTCCGTGCTTTCTCACTGCACTGCAGATACATCCTTGCTAGCTTCTTGCACTCCTTTTCCGTCGCCACTAACCGCTTGCAGATCACCTCCAGTGTGTCCTTGCAGTTCATCGCAATGCGGGGTAGTTTATAGATGCAGGAGAACAGCCCTTCAAGCAGGTTCATCCGGATCTCGGTCGTCAACAGCGTCAGTTGCGTTTCCGACACAATCGACAACTGCCGCGCTAGGATTTGCAATGCGAGCGAGCAGAGAGACTCAGATTTACTGTCCGCCTCTTGCAGAATCTGGATCAAGACAGGGACGAGGAACGAAAACCCGCCGGCGGTCAGTGGATTTTCGTGACTCACGCCGTGGAGAAGTGTGAGGAGCTGGGATTGCTGCCGATCGTTGCTGTTTTCGCTACCTTCTTGCTCGTTCTCAGCAGTCGTGTTTTCATTCAGCAACTCTTCGCTTGTACTATCTCCTTCTCCCACAGCAGAGACTATCGCCGATCTGATGTCCACCAACGGCAGCGGCTTCACGTGCTTACATTTCACGTCCCGCGCGATCTCGTTTCGCGCGACGAGTTGCAGGATATCCGGTAGTATCAAATGCAAAAATGTCTGGGTCTGGAAGAATGCATGTTTGTCATGCTTGTCTGGCATGACTCTTAAATCTGTCATGCACGTTACCCACGCGCCCCATTTTTCTGTGACGCAGAAACGTCGTTTGTCATGCGGAATAGGCAACACCTAGAAGCTCAGAAACTTGTCATGCTGAGCCAGCACTTGTGGCCTCATCATGAGACGCCACCCAGCATCACAAGTTTCCAGACCCAGACATTTTTACATTTGATAGGTAGCAGACATCTTGTACTGATCACCTGCTTCGGCACCACGGATTGGCATCAAACGCAAAAATGTCTGGGTCTGGAAGAATGCAAATTTGTAATGCTCGTCTGGCATGACTCTTAAATCTGTCATGCACATTACCAAAGACCCCCACTTTTCTGTCATGCAGAAACGTAGTTTGTCATGCAGAATAGGCAACACCTAGAAGCTCAGAAACTTGTCATGCTGCGCCAGCACTTGTGGCCTCTTCATGATACGCCACCCAGCATCACAAGTTTCCAGACCCAGACATTTTTACAATTCATAATTGGACGAAGGAGCGGATCCGCGCGACGGTGGATAACGCGGTCAGTGGGGAACCTAACAGAATCACCAAAGAGGGTAAAAGCTCCGGCACGTGCTTTTCCAACAGAGAAATGGTCCCCCCGCTAGAAGTATTAAATGTAAAAATGTCTGGGTCTGGAAACTTGTGATGCTGGGCGGCGTCTCATGATGAGGCCACAAATGGTGGCTCAGCATGACAAGTTTCTGAGCTTCTAGTCGTGTTGCCTATTCTGCATGACAAACTGCGTTTCTGCATCACAGAAAAAAAGAGCTCCTGGGTGCCGTGCATGACAGATTTAAGAATCATGCCAGACAAGCATGACAAACATCAATTCTTCCAGACCCAGACATTTTTACAGTTGATAAGAAGTTGTCTGGGACTTTTGTGGGATGAAACTGAAGGAAGAAAACATATCCTGTGCAAAAGTATCGTACTCGTAGTAATTGCAGTTATGCATTACAAACCTCTTTCTCATAGGCAAATCCGCATTACAAATTTAATTTGTAACGCTGGGCCAATTTGTATTTCAATTTATACTAGTACGATACTTTTGCATTTCATAAAACAAGTCGAGCAGCAACTCCGCCTCCTGAATCGTGTAGCGCATCCTTTGTCTCAGTTGCAGCTGCTCCAATAACTTCATCTCATTCTGCTCTTCTTTTGAAAGCGCGCCTTTATTCTTCAACATGGTCGTCCCAGGTCCTGCCGCTGCCGCCTTCGCGGGTGCCGCTTTGGCTTTCGCTTTCGACTTTGGGGCTGCGGCAGATTTATTTCCTCCTGTCGCACCAGCCTTTGCGGTCGTCTTCGGAGCCGCTGCTGCAACTGAAACTACAGCCGGAGCTGCGTCGAGATCCGCTGATTTGATTTTCGCCTGTGTATGGACTGCAAAAGTATCGTACTCGTATAAATGCGTGACAAATTTCCTCAGCATGAGAAATAAAATTTGTAATGCAGATTTGCATTGGGAACAAGATTTGTAACGCATGACTTGCATTTATACGAGTACGATACTTTTGCACAGGATACTGTGCAAGCCCAAGCGAATCTTCGGCGGAATTATACTCGGAGTGAAACACCTCAGATTCGTTATTGAGAGGAAAAATCCCCCCTCCCCATATTGAAAAGGTATGTTTCCAAAAATTTGTGTTGCGGATTTGAGGTCAAAAATCACATCTGTCTTGCAAGAAGACAAGGGCAGAAGCTTCCGCCCCATTATGGAAGCGATTTGTCATGCTGTCTGGCCTAAAGGGGGGCCGTTTCTCATGCTGAACTACTAGACCCATACGCCCCTACCTAGTCTGGGGATCTGGCCGCAGTGCCTCTGTGCAATACAAAGCTGATTTGTGGCCACAAATCAGCATCACAAATTTCCGTTTTGATATGGGGAGAGGGGATTTTTCATTTTGATATTCGTCCTGGAAAAAGATCGCAATCGCGTCGGATTTGCTATCGAGGTTGATTCTGTCGCTGACTTGCTTCATCTTTAACTTCACCTGAGTCATCAAAGACTCCAAATGGTTTCTCGCCGACGGCTTGTACAGCGACGTGATCGCCCGGACCGCGCCGATTCTGAGCGGATTTTGCTGGAGAAAATTCATCATCTCAGAAGAGCTCCAATCCAGTTCTTCAGACGCGAGCGCGAGCGCCTGTAACCGCGGGAAGCAACTGTCAAAAAACACATCCGGGCTTTTGATGTTCGATTGGTTCAGTTTCTCTTCCACCAATTTCGTCACCAGCTGCCTCCCACCGATCAAATGCAAAAATGTCTGGGTCTGGAAAATTTCTAGACCTGTCATGCATATTTTCCATGAGCCGTGATGTCTGTGATGCATGCCGTAGCATCACAGATTTTCAGAGCGCTTTGCGATACCTCTACCGCATGAGAAATGCCGTCTCCGCGTAGCACAAACTGGAGCCCTCTTGCTGGTCATGCAGTACAAATTTTTTCAGAATCCAGAGACAGCATTACATGTTTAGAATGTTCCAGACCCAGACATATTTACATTTGATACCACCGTTCCTCGGGCAAATCGCGGGGTGGAAAGCCAGTGCGAGGAGACACGCAGTCACATCCGGGAATTCTGCGGTGAAAGGGAGGCAGGCGGACAAAAGGTCTAAAACAATCGCGCGGAGAACAATGTCGGTTTGCGGGATGGAATTATTTCCCTCCTCGGGAGAAGATATCGAGCTAAAACTTCCTGCTCCGGTCGAAAGACTTGCATTTTTTCCATCCCCGCTTGACGCGGCCGTAGTACTACTAGAAGTCGAACCAATCGAACTGGTGGGGAAAAGCGCGAAGTCCTTTCTTCCCAAAACTCTTTTGAACCCATACGACTCGTTCAGAATCGTCGTCCCGCGCAATTTCCCGTTCTCGAAGTGTTTCTGCCCGCCGAGAACTTGGGAATTTTTCTCCGAGGAAGTCTGCAACATGTGGTGAAATATTTGCACCAAACTGGTGGTGAAGTGATGGAAAAGCAAATCCAAGTCCGGCTTGCACGCGGGACTGATGGTTTTATCCTTCTCCGAAACCGCTGCGGACTTGACGAGTTTTTCTAACAACGTTTTGAAAAACGGAACAGAATCCGAATTCGCGAACTGCGCGTTATTTCCGGCGTAGCTGCTGGACAATACAGCGAGAAATTGTTTCAAAACCGGGTTGGTTTTCATGTCGAGAAGTTTCTGCAAACTCTGCGGTTTCAGCACCGGTTTCTCGGAATCGACGACGATGTAGCCCTATCAAATGCAAAAATGTCTGGGTCTGCTGGAAGGTTGTAACTTGTGATGCTGTCTTTGGAAGGTAAAAAAAATCTGTATTGCATGACCGGCAAGAGGAGTTCAGTTTGCGCTACGCGGAGTGGGCGTTTCTCATGCGGAATACGCATCAGAGGGCCCTTTAAAAATCTGCGATGCTAGGTCATGCATTACAGGCCTCATGGGCTATGAAAAATAAGCATGACAAATCTCAGAATCTTCCAGACCCAGACATTTTTGCGCTTGATAAGCCCTCTTCCGTCTCCGTACAGCTGGACGTTTCCAACGACGCGGCGGTCGGCTCGATGAAGAGCTGCAAAGAGGTATTGTGAGGAAAAATGTCCCCACTCTAGAGTCAAGATGGAAAATCTGCTAGACAAATCAAACAGCTTTCGCTGTTTCGCATGACAATTTTGCCCTCAAAATAGTGTGATCCTGGTTCGCTAGTTCAGCAGCATCACAGATCTAGGTCTAGCATATCATGCTGGTTCTAGCATCACAAACTCAAAAAGACGACTAGTAAATGCCTCTTATGGGGCTTCGCATAAGAAACTTTTTTGGCTGGCATTGCAGATTTGCATGACAACTCTGGGGTGGGGACGTTTTTACTCAGCATAAGAGGATTGCTTCGTCAACGTGAGGGGGAACCTGGTCGCGAGATCGAGCTTGCTTTCCACCACAGCCGTTTCCAGCACCGCGGAAAAAGCGGCGCACCAGAGGTCCTGGGGTGCGATGGTGTTGTTCAGTTTGAAGTTTTCCGGGTTCAGGAAAAAAGACTCCGTCGCATCGGTGAAGAGGGCAAGTTGCTCTTTCTTCCAGTCCTTTTTCAAGTTCACGGCAGCCTCAAGCGGCAACGCGAATACCAACGCGGAAAGCATCCCGGAACGGAGCGCGACCTTCAGAGTGGCGGACCACAGGGTTGCGTTGATGATGATGTTTTCCTTCACCCAATCTTGAAAGGGAGACAGATCGTAGAGAATGGAGGTCTGCTTTTCTTGGGTACTACTAGTTGTGCCGTTGTTTTTACTCCGTTTCGCGACCATCTCCGCTGGGGATATTGATGTTGGTCTACCTGTTTTTACAACTACCAATCCATTCACGCAGGCGGCCTTAATTGTGTCCTTCTTCTCGTTTGCTAGAACCTTCTTGATCACGTCCAAGACTGGTTGTGTCACCTGTTTTCGCTTGTCAAGAGAGCTGCTATCGGATTTGTCACCGAAGACGACCAAGTTCGCCAAGTTCACGATCAAGCCGCAATTTTTGATCGCCAACAGCCTCAAATCTTCGCTCATGCCCGGGCCGGTGGCTTCTTTCAGAAGCAGGCTGGTGGAGGTGGTGGCGCCGTTGACGAGAAGGGACTTGAAAGTGGTGACTTTTTCCAGGAACATGGTGTTGAAACAGGATACAAGAAGTTGTGCCTGATGTAGTTGTTGTTCCTTATTTTGCTGTTCCTGTACATCACCGCCTGAACTACAAGCAGTCATTTTATACAGCACGCTCCCGATCATCTTGGCCAGCATCTTGCTCCCCATCGTCAGCGCCGCAATCTTGTCCTGCGCCGGCGCGGTGTTTTTCGTGGTGAGGAGGGTGAAAACGTGATCGAGAACGGCGGAGGTTCTAGGAAAGGTCGCTTTGTCCTCCTTCGCATCAGCCAGTGTTGCTTGTTCCGCGACCGCTTCGGACACTCGGGTACAGAATTCCCGCTGCTTCACGTGCAGCGAATGGGAGGTCGTGAGGAACTCGGAAAGCGTTTTGACGAATTCTTCTGACACTGACGTGCCTTTATTCGCGTTTTCATGCAAGTGGAACAACAATTCACACCCGCAAATTTCCATTAATCGCATGATGCAGCCCCCCGCCGTCTCCGGCTGCCTCTTCAGCATTCTGTTGCAGGTTTGCAGTAGCTTCTGGATTTCACCTGCTGGTTTGGAAGAAACAAGTTGCGCTTTCAACATGCTGCATACCCCGTCGACAACAGCGGGGTAAGAAGTGGCTGTGCTGGTGGTTTTCGCTTCTTCGAGCAGCTGTTTCTGGAGAAAGTCGCAGACCGGCTCGATGAAGTTATTCGTAGTGGTATTATCGCGACTCGTCAACAGCCCACCGAGCACCGCCGCGCCTGAAACCGCCTGCAAGGATCCTGCTGCGCTTATCAAAAGGAAAACTCCCCCCTCCCCATATCAAGAAAGAGCTTCTAACGCAGGATCTGCGTACACAAATCAGATTTGTCTTGCTGGAGAGGAACGCAGGCCCTTCCTAGGCCTAAGTCGAGCGGTTTTGGCCTAGGCGTCTAGCACGAGAAACGTCCACGCTGTAGGCCCATGAGCATCACAAACCGCCTGCACAATGCTGCGGAGCTTGTGGAGTTGCCTTCTTGCAAGACAAAGGTGATTTGTGACCTCAAATCAGCAACACAAATTTTGGTGGAGCCATGCCTTTTCGATATGGGGAGAGGGAGTTTTTCCTTTCAATAGCGGTCGTGGTCGCCGCGAGCGCGTTTTTTCCGATCACCGCAAAGCCGGCCTCGATAACTTTCTTCTGCGAAAAAAATTTCTCCTGGACCACCTTCCACTTCTTCTTCCACCTTCCCGTGGAGGTTCCGGCCTTGTTGGACAAACAGTACCGCATGAACAGTTGCAGGACTTTGGATAATCGGTTGGAGTCGATCTTTTCGACCACAGAACAAGAAGTCGCTGATGTGGCTGAACTTCTACCCGCGATCATTTTCGTCAACATGTACAGGCCCAACACCAACGTCCTGCAGTCCCTTCCCACCTTGATCAATCGGTCCAAGAAGCAGTTGACACTCGTTTCGTTCGGAGGTAATATCCTCGCAATCTTGTCCACGAGCAGATACTGCAAATTCCGGGAATCAGAGCTCGCTCTCGGCAGAGCAGCCGCGGTGAAATCCAGAAGCGCATCCTGCAGCGCTTTGGAGATGGTGTGTTGTTCTTGCGATAATTTGGCGTTTACTTTCGGGCATGTTATCAGCTTCGCGTACAGCACGCTATCACTGACGTTGTCCCCCCCGACAACTTGCTCGGCATCCTCGCCGCTGTTCGGTGCACCCTCGGCGAGGAACTTTTTCAAATTGGTTAAGGCCTTGCCGGTGGTGGCGCCCTGGACGGCGAGGGTTGCGGCTTGGAGCAGCGCGATCCTCGCACTGTCGTCTTCTAGAGTGATGCCGTCCATGGTTGGTTTTGTATGCAGGAAATTCAGTCGCCGGTTGTACCTTCTGTGGTGGAGGAGGAGTACGAGAATAAGTTAAGGCTTCTTTGGCGGTAAATGCTACTGAGAAGGGTCGTGGCACAGAAACAAGCAACTACTACTCATGGGACTTCCTTGTTTCCAGTCGATCACTACTAGGTGCGGAACTAATTCGGAACGATAGGGGTCACCTTCGCTAAAGGCATGCTTTCAATATCAATTATCATGTTTGTTTGTCGCTTTGGCATGATGGATGTGAAACATGTTGTGCGTACAGGTATATTTCTATGCTACGGCGGAACCGCTGAAAAAAATGAATTGGTTTTTGTTTTGTATATTCGGTCTGAAGCCGCGTCAAATTCCAAATACGAGGTAGGTTTGTTTTTGTTTTTATATTCAGATCGGTCAGAGAATTTCGTTGCGCCAGATGTAGAAAGATCACGACGAAAGAGTAGGGATCGGAAGATTACGCATAGCGCGCCGATGTCAACATGTACGTATCAATCTGAACTGCATCATCCTGGTACGCGAGGGCAAGATAACTAGTGTGTGAAAAGGATCTGAACAAACCAATTATTTCCACGCATTCGGAAGTAGATCTTTCAAGGAGGAGCCTAGTGTGTCTACGAGAGCATGATGAACATCCTTGAACAATGTAATGGATTCAGTTGTTCTAGTTGCATGGAACGCAATGGCTGAGCACCTTTTCCCAGCACACAGTGATGTAGTAGAATGGTCATGTCAAGGTGAAGGACGTGATCGATATCATCAAATTCTTGAAATAGGTTTGGAAGTTATAATGTTAAGGAACTGTTCTTAGCCCGGACAAAAGTTGCAAATTTCAACTTCTTCGCGACCACCTGGTGCTGCTGGCAAGGTACCTGATAGATGATTCCACTCAGTTTGATTTTTCGTGAGGACCCATTCGAAAATACAGAGTTTCTGACGCAAGAAGAAAACGAGATAGATAATCTTTTCCTGTGGGGTCGACAGAGATAAATCGAATTATTAAGGCATGAAAGCGCATGGAAGTAAGGGGCACGCAAGGAGTTCACAGCAGCCGAGGCGGATCATCAAATTTGCGTATGTTGAGTCAATGTACTTACATCTCGTCCTCGTTCCGTCCTCATCTTCTAGGCGCCGCACCGATCCGCGGCTGGGACTCCGTTTGTTCCATCCGCAAAAGTGCAGCTCGACTCCTTGGGACCACAACTTCCAGGAACGAGAGAAGAGCCCTCCACAAGCGCGAGCAAATCAGAAACTTCGGCCTCGATCTTCGCTGCATCTCTGCTCTGCATAGAGATAGACCCGCACCCGAACATCGCCAACTGATAACGCTGATTTCCACAGCCACCCTCCCCGAACACCGCACGATAATGCTCCCGGAAAGTGTCTGGGCCGGTCATCTCCATTAGACACAGCAACGTCGGGGCCTCCTTCATTTGTGCGATTTCTTTCGTCAGCCATTTGTTGGCGTTTTCCCGCAGGGAAAAGTATAACTGTCCGGGCTCCACGACGTTCTCCGTCAACTCTTTTGGAACAGTACTACCCTTCGCCTTCCCGTTCGTGTCGAATGGGTTCTCCATTCTTTCATCAGGGAATGTATAGGCAACATAAACAGTATCGATGGTTTTTCCGCCGGAGGAGCGCATTGTGCAGGCACGAATTGCCCTACGGGAGGAATAAAGCACTCGCATGGGGTGCAATCCTGTCGGAATAACTCTTGTTCTGTATGAAAAAAGAAAAAGCGGACGCACGTTCGTGCAGTGCGATCCCTTGTCTGCTGCTGAAGCCGCCATCTTGATGGTGGCGCAGTTTTTCACGGCCAACCTCGAGAGAAACGCCGTAGCACAGATGAAAGAAAATACTCAAGGGGCGACTTCTGTAAAAATATCGGATGTTACTTGAAATTCGGAATAACAGGATAGGTCGCTACACGAAAGAATGTAGGTTGTGGCTTCGATGGAACTACCGCTGAAAAAGTTAGTGTTCTTTTGGAGCGTCAGGCCCTTCAAATTCAAATTGTGAATTGTTTCTTGCTTTCACAGGATCGTCGTTCAATCATGAAATTTCCTACTTCCGCAATAAAGTCTTGTCGATCTTCACAAAGAATAAAGACTCAGCATCAGCAGACGCAGTAGCCATCATTCAACAAAGTTGAAGTGCATTGTCATATTCAACATCATGACGCGGAAGTGAATAGAGGTAGTGCATCAGGATCTTCTTCTTGCGCAACCCTCCAACATGTGGCTGAACATAAATTGAGATCGTCCTCTTGCGCGGTCGCGGTCGGACAGCCCTCTTAGCCGACCCGAGGACCATCCTCACCCGAGAATAGAGCACGGCTGTTGGGTTTCTTCCATAGTGAAAAATCAAAACCTTCAGAACCGGTATGAAAGCACTCAATGCTCAGTCACATGATCCAGATCCACCAACAGAAACCTAGGCACCAAAATAGTCTTTCGTGAAAAATCGTGATTGGGATTTTGCATCGTTAATATCGTAGGGGTACTTATTATCGCTTCGGCTTCCAGATTTGAAGTTGAAGCTCAAGTTTATGCAGTTTTCGTTTTCGACGTGTTCGACATGAACATAATTTCTCATACATTCTCGCTTAGTGCAGTTAGTCGCCAAATAAAAAATCTCAATCGCTGTGATATAAAACGGGAAAAATCATGTAGACGGATTCAAATGGTGTAACCATGGGTATCGGTATGGTTCTTGTTCGCTTTAATATTATTCAATAACTGTTTACAGACTCACGGATGCTTCCACCATCTCCAAATATTCCAAAACATCCTCCCCGGCATTCCCGAGCTCGGTGACCGTTTTCTTACCTCCCCGCTGCGCTGACACTTTTTCTGAATCGCACTTGAAAACGAACACCGCCTTCTCCTGCACCAAGTCTAGCAACCGAATTTCCCGCCCGGTCAGCTCCGAGGGCAGTTTCTCTTGCTGCTTCGCGATCCAGATGCCCGCAGCCTGTCGGGTCGTGAAGCACATCGCGGGAGCGATCTTTTGCAGACAGGCGTACAGCTCGGCGTAGGTGGTCTTTCCGATGGGGATACGACCGGCCAGCTCGTAGCAGAGAAACACCGTTTGCTCTTTAATGTCGTACTGGGTGCTGGGATCATCGCGAATATTTGTGGAGTTTCTTGGGTCGTTTGTTCCAGCGTCGCTACAATTTGTTGTTGGTCTCCTCCTCTCCTGGACTTTGACATTGGTACAGCAGGTCACAACGTGGCTAAATACCTCGTAGGACACGTTGTACGGGTAGGTTTCACATGTGGTAGTGCAGTGCACCACGCTGACGATACACAGCGGACGCCAGTCGCGCTGCTCGGATTTTGTTGCTGACATAGTACTGGTGTCGCTTCAGGAACGGATGAGGAGTTGTAGGAATTTTTTCTGTTGAAGATTACGGACTACGGACTCGCTCCTGCGGTGTCGCGGCTGGATCAAAAAAACGTGGCAGAGCTGTGAATTTTTTGGAAACGCTGTGGTCTAGTATGTCGTATGTATCTAAATGTATTTCAGTAGTACTGAACGAGGACACAACTCTCAACAAAACAATGTAGACTAGAAACGAGATATCAAAGGCATTGTATGAAAGGAACTGCTCATCTACTATGATTGCACAACACAAGCATTGCAAGAAGCGGGCATGATCAGATTTTCGCTTTTGCACAACAGCACAATAAGTAGAGAAGCAGACAAGTCACACTAGTAAGTAGTGCTGACACCAAGCCGCTGTTAACGAGAAAATAAATACTGAGATCAATAGAAGTGCTTCGTCTGCCTACGGTAAATAAGCATACAGGTCTGTTGTGCGCTTGTGGTGGCTGGGACCATGATCTATAGTAGCTATGATATCACTAAACGCCTCGTAGTACTAGACAAAATGTTGTAGTAGGGATCGTTTTTCTTGTTGAGCTAGACGAGAAATAGATCATGATCATCACGCAAGAACGAGAGAGCTGCCATCGCGATCTGCTAGAACCTGTTCGCGGAACAAACACTGCTCATCCTGTGTTTTTTAGATCCTCATGATAGTCAGAACGTCGCACGCACTAGAGAGTGAAAAACAAAACTACTAGAGGGCGCAGATCTATAGCTGGAAAAGAGGACAAACGTCGTGATCCTTGTTGATGGAGATCTTTTCGTGCGCTGGTCCTTCTTCTGGTTCTGGCTGTAAAATGTTGACCACCTCCGGAACGAGATCTTACTACGAGACATCTCTGTTTTTTTTTATCCTTCTTGTCGTGCCGCTCCATATCGGACCAGCACCACATCTTTGGTTGGCAAACCACGAGGACATCAACACATCATGAAGAACTCTGGTCTACTTGCCCTTGCGCTTGATGTTGCCACAGGAGCAAATACGTGCATCAACACTCCTCTGCCTGCAAGGAGCTCCTGCAACAAGGTAGAACAAGTGTGCTGTACTACATTCGTAAACATTATGGTCGTGTTTTTTCCGTTCCAAATCCATTTCGAGTCATGGGAGGTCGTACATCGACTATGAACAGAGTCTACTTCCGGTCGTGTAGAAGTCAAATGGTTAGACTCCACGTAACATCAAATGAGCCATAGAGGAGAACATCATAAAAACGGAGAAGACGACGAAACTAACACCACGACCAGCGAATCAAATTTCTATTCGCTACTCCTTTCCCGGCCGCGTGGTTTGTTTCGCTAGTGTCCTTCTCGACCGTCTCCGAAATAAACAAAGTACTTCTTTGTTGGAACTCACTCCGTCTTCGCCCGTTTGGCGTCCGGTGGTCCTCCGTCGTTGAAACCGCCGGTGGCTATCCTGAGTAAAAACGTACCCACACCAGAGTTGTAATGCAGATTTGCACAGACAGGAAGACTTGTAATGCGCATCCGCATGAGAGCCATTTCCAGTCGTGTTTTGGAATTTGTGATGCTGTGAACAGGATGAGCAGATGGATCTGTGATGCGGCTGCACTTGCTAGTCTGCACTACACTGCAGAGTGCAACTTGTCATGCGTGACTCACAAAACTCCTAGGTTTGTGTTGCAAAATCCCCATCCTGACTCTGGTGTGGGTACGTTTTTACTCAGGATAGCGGCGCCCATTTGTTTATCAAACGCCGTTATGAAATACAAAAGCATCGCACTAGTATAAACCGCATGACAAATTTCCTCAGCATGAGAAATAACATTTGTAATGCGGATTTAACTTGACAAAGAAATTTGCAATGCATGACTGCGATTACTACGAGTACGATACTTTTGCAGTTCATAGCCTTGATCGCGTCCATGACGAAGTTTTTCCCTTTGCCCTGGTCTACCGCCGCGTTTATTATCTCCCCCTTCTTGCCCCCGATCTTCCCCGCCAGTTGCCGCAGCTGGGCTTTCTCCGCTTCGGCCGGCCCGGACGGGGTGTTGTTCGTGTTCGTACTCTGGATATGGGTATCCTGTGCAAAAGTAGCATCTACTTTAATATCGCATTTTTCGCAGGCGTAGTACCCTGACAGTGCAGTTTATTTTACATGAAAGTAAAGACAAACCTCGCTTCTGCACAAAATCCGCATTAATTACAGTTTTTTCATATCTTTTCCTCGTCCACCTCTTCGGAATTGTGATTGCAAAGCAATGCCTGCTAGAGCGATATTATTTCTAAATACTTTTGCAAAAATGCATAGATGGACATGATGTCTGCTCCCTCTGCCTTCACTTTCTCCATTAGATCCTTCACTGCCTCCTTGTCGTTGAGGTCACGAAGTCGCGCGATTTCAAATTTCAACGCCTCCGGCTGCTGAATCAGTTCCCGTACCCTCTCCTTGCTCAGAAAGTTCCGGTCCGTCTCCATCAGCTGCAGCTGCACCGGAGCATTTGATGGTCCACCGCCGCCGCCCATTGGGTTGCTGGACATTGATTTCCCCCCGCCGAGAAAGCCGCCCTTCATGTTCCCGAAATCGGGTCCGCCTTCCGGCCCCTATCAAATGTAAAAGTGTCTGGGTCTGGAAGAGTCATGCTGTTTCTGCATGACACAGAAGGTCTGGCATGGAAGCTCTAGCATCACAGGTTTCGAGAAGCTTCCGCAATGCCGAATCCGCATGACAAATCCCCCACATTGGTGACAGAAAGTGAGCAGCTTTTGCTGCCTATGTATCAGAGATTTTTGTGTGTTCTGAAATGCGCATCACAAGTTACATCCTTCCAGACCCAGACAATTTTACATTTGATAGCCCCATGCCTTTTCCTAGTCCTTGTTTGCTCTTCTGGCCGATGGCTTGTATGATGTTTTGCTGCTCGTCGAAACTTGTGCAGTGAAAAAGTAGTACCGCACGACTGCTTGCAAAAGAGATTTTAATATACGAAAACTGTTCTCAAAAACAAAAATCGACTGTTGTGTCATGCAGATTCAGCTTAGAATTAGAATGAAGCAGTTCTGTTTGCTCATGCAGATCATCAACTGCAGTTCCTATACAGTAGTGCGAAGATTATACTTTTTCAATGCGTAAATCCCTTCTGCAGCAACTTGTCCACGCCCTCGGGACCGCCCTTCGAGAGCAGGAACTCGATCACGTAGGGAGGTAGATTCCCCGCTTCGGGGTGTAAGCCGGCGAGGGCTGGATTGGTGGGTCCTTTACTAATGCTGCCCGGTCCACCCTTCATGCCGCCGCCGCCCCAGGAACTGCTTTCCTTGCCGGAGTTACTGTGCTTGTCGAAGGACTTGTTGTGCCACTTGTCAAACGGGCCGCCGCCTTTCAGGTTGTAGTAGTTATCGCCCTTGGGATTACTACTTCCACCCCAGCCGTCCTTCCCGCCCGAACTGTTCCAATCGTGGTCCTTTCCGCCTTTGCCCCAAGCATCCGGCCCTTTCGGCCAGTGCCTCGGGGACTTCCCCCACTTGCCCTTTGGTGCGCCCCAGCCCTTGCTGGGATCCATTTCGGGGGAAAGCCGCGGGGTCGGCATGCCCTTCGGCTGCTGCATGCCCTGGGGCATGATTGACGGGCCCTTCATGCTGTTCGGCGACGGGCCTGCTCCGCCGGGTAGCGGTGGCATCATCGGTCCTCCGGGGCCCCCCTTGTTTCCCGCCATGGGGACGACGGCGTTGGGGTTCAGTTTCAGCATGATCTCGTGCAGCTTCGCTTTGCCGGATTCGGTTAATGACACAAACATCTGGTCGTCGGTTGCCGCCTCGATTTGAAAAAAATCCTTGTTTTCCTTCCCCAGGGCTTGGGTGAGCAGCTTCACAAACTTGGGTAGGTCGATGGAGAACGCGGGGAGGCTCTGCAGATAGTCCTTGTAAAAGGAAGCGCACTGTTGAAAATGATTGTTGTTTTTCGCTTTTATTTCTTGTGTCATGTACTATGTCTTGCAACACAAACCAATTTTGCCATGCACTGTCTTGCATTCCACACATAAGAAGATAGATGAAGAACATAAACATCTATCAAATCTATACCGGTTTATCCACGCACTCCTTCTTTACTAACTCGTGAAAGGCGATGAAGAGTGGATTCCTTTCGCCCGCGCACAGCTTTATCTTCCCTGGTGAGGCGTCCCATATGTGCTTCTGGCCTTCCAGCACCCGTCCCTTCTCGCCGTCGAAACACCGGAGAAAATCGACGCACAACTGGGCCTTCAGTTCGTATACCTTGCAGATCTGCTGCAGGGCGAGCTTCCACAGTGCAAATGTGCGATTGCGCCTGAGGGAGGTTTTATTTTCTCATCATGATTTTATTTTTGATGGAGATGATGAACTTTGGTCAAAATTCTTGCAGTTTTCTTTTTCAGTAGGTACGCAAGATCACATCACTATCAACACGGTGCAACCGCCCAAGTAAAAAATTTTACTTCTAGTATAGATACGTATGCCAAGAGTCAAGTCATCTTACCTTCCCCGCAGCCACGCCTCGACTATATTTCCGCCCTGCTTTTTCACCACCTTTTGCTGTTCCGCAGTTAAATCCTCCGGCATTTTGAAATAATGGTCCGTTAACCGCTGGCACCACGTTTGCAAGATGGGCACCTTCTTCAACGCCGGGAGCGGTTTGGGGCCGGACCTCCCTAGGCTGATGGAGCAACCCAGGGCAAAGAAGAAACGCGTTTTTCTCTGGTAGTCGTCATCATCCTTGGCGAACGCGAGAAGTGCGGACCCCGAGATCTCCTTCATCAACTCTTGGAGGCGCTTTTGCTGTTTTTTAGAAATGTTGATTTTCTCCTGGTCTTGAAATTGCGTAATATTGGTAAATGGGATTTTTTCCAACACTTTTCTTTTCTTATCGAGATTCTTGCTTGTCGATAAAATTTTTGTTCGCATGGTGGTACGATCTATCAAAGGTGCGATTTTTTGAGTAGCGGACACTACAACATCCTTTTTTCACAATACCCCCAAAAGGAAACTCAAAAATTGTACCATGGAATTGGCTTCTTTTTCACTGCCGAAATTGTTCGTCTCGACGTCGTTTAGCCAGGAAACTAACCTATCCGTTACCAACTTTACCGCCTCGGGCAAGACGATTTTCTTCATCATCGGAAAACACTCGATGATAACCTGATTGAATTTTCAACTGCAAGAAATGCGTTTTCTCATTTTTGTACGTGTTTCTTATTTTCATTTGACAAAAATATGCGAATAACGACGGAACTCGCGGTTCTCATGCGAAAAAACGCATCTGCGCGTGAATGCTGCAAAAGCTGCAAGTTTCGCCGCAGTGAAAGTGCATCATACCGTTGTGATTCAGATTCTGAAAATTTGAAAACCGACGGTATGATGTATTTTCAAATAAAACAAACAGCCAACACGTCAATCACGAGCTAATGGTGAGTTTATAAAAAATTCATGCAAGAATACAAACCTCAATCACGGCCTGAATGCGTTTTCTTCATTTTCGCGAGAGTACTTAAATGCAGTTCTATATGGAGTCACGATTTTGTAGAATCAATGAAATTTTTTGGCGATAAAGGACAAAAATTAAAAGTTTTCATCAAGAACCATCACCTAGTAGGTACTTACAATTGCAAGTTGACAAATATCAATCTAGTACCTGTTGGTCCTCCGGCTCTGCGGACTGAAATTTTGGGATGACGAGCCGAATGCACTCAATTCGGTGTCTATCGCAAGAAAAAGCTGCTTCACTGTAAACTTGTGATGCAGGAGAGAGACAATGAGATGCAGTTGCACAGAGGGGTCGTTTACCTTGCTATTTACAAAACTACATGTTGCAAGACAATCGGGGATGTTTAGCCGTGTTTTTATCTTTCCCGAGGAAGGACGACCGGCGCATGGCAATTTTTTTCATCATGTTGTAGAAAAGCAGACATTTGTGAAATACTTACAAGTACAACACAGAGAAGCACTTTATATTCTTCTTGGATACTTCCGCACTTCTTCGGGTAGATCACTCAGTGCGGAGGCGAAATCTTCTTCATCAATCGCCTTGGTCGTCATTGCGGTAATGTCCTCCCCGCTCAAGGCTTGCTTGTCCTGCGCTCCCGCGCTGGGGGACTTCGTAGCCGCGTCCGCGCCGGTCATTGTCGATTTTTTCCTTGTTCTTCACTTGAAGATGGAGTTGTTGTCGGTATTCAAGTAGAACTAAGAGTACTTGTCGTCCGTCTGCAGGACGAGTCGTATCGAGAAATTGGTCGTGGTCTTATTCTTGTTTCTCTTCCTTCTACTTCCAGTTTCGTCCGACTAGATGTTGTTCTGGCACGAGGACCAGGTGTGAGGAACACTTGGTCGCTGATGTTACTGATGGTGGCACTTGTTCGAGGAAAACCAAAACAGGGCGTCAGGGTCAGCGACCGGTACTTCTATATCGCTCTTCTTCGTCCTATGTAAAAGGTGGTGTCCTGGTGGTCCGTCGACGTGGTGAAGAGGAATTCGAATTTTTGACGTGCTCGGCGACGAAATGTTGCGAGATGTACTTCTTTTATTTATGAGCGGCGATGTAGCACCACAGGCACAGGCGGATTGCTTTCAATTAATATTGTTCACTCAACCACTGCATCAGCAGAGTTGCTTTTTTCCGTCCTCGTCGCTCCGGCGATTTCGTTGTGGAACCAAGAGGTCGGGAGTAAGTAACTTCTTTGTCAAGCTGCTGGTGCACTGCTGTCTTGTCGCTACTTTGTGCTGCCGCTGCGATGAGTATTACTTTCGGAGTCCGCCGTGGTGAACTGCAACTGCTCCTGATGTGCAGCTCCGTATAATCTACTGATCCCCCTAGTTGTATCGGAGACGCACACGTCGCAAGAAGTGCACTAGCAGGAATCGCTGGCGCGTGCTGGAGTTGTCAAAAGTACTCAACTGTACTGGGAAGTTTTTTTTAATTTTTCATCCAAGTAGATGTTTGCTTGTTTAATGTTTCCTCGAAAGAAGTATGATCCTCTTCAGAAACTGCTCTCACACGATCTGTGAAAGTAGGACGGGAGAAGGATTTTTTTCTTTGCTTGTGCGGTTATCAATACCAACAAAATACGCATCCAGCACTTTCTTGCAAGACCCTTTATTAGTGCTGGGAATTCCTCGAAATTTCAAGTCGACAAGAATACATTCCAAGTGAACTACTACCCGACCAGAGGATGACAACTTGGTCAGAGTTCTGTGCGTTTGCGATACAAAGAGATGGCGTCGACGTCCCAAATAAATTTTCTACGACTAGTACGTCCTTGCGCTGAACGACAAAAGATACTTCTGTGGAGGTCGCGAAGGGTATCATTCAGGACAACTAGTTTCGACAAATCAAATCTTATTGCGAAATTGAATGGGAATTACTACATGCTAAGTGTCGCGCACTAGTGAAACAACAAGGAGGTCGTGTCGTGTCTGTGTGTAGCCTGTGGATTAAGTCGATTACAAGATGCTGGCTCTTAGTCCGCTAGAGTACTAGCAAGAGATCCCGATCCCCCAAATTGATTCTTCGCCATTCGAAAAGACCACGGCGCAACATCAACTTCAGGCCAGAATAATATTACACAATGCCTTATTTTCCACCGCCAGCTCGTCAGACTGCAAAATCATATCAATTTCTATTCCCGCCATACATCAATTTTGTTTCGATGTTAGCCGTACCACTAGTCTATCTACTTCGATGTTGCTTGTGGTGCCAGTGGGTCCGATCTTGAACACTGAAAAAACCAACAGATTTTTGTATTTTTTCGAAATTTCTCCTGTCGCAAGCTCGAGAGTTACTCAGTTGTGGCAAGCCGAGTAGTCTGAACTAGTTTCTCAATTGCAGAAAAAAACCACACGCTGTCTGTCCTCTGTGGCGGTAGTTCATCTCGACAGATTTGTCTTTGAAGAAGTTTCATGTCACTTGCTGGTGCTGTTTCTACTTTCAAATCTGAGCGCTTTTATTGTCGGAGATAACATCATTCTCATTTCAAGCATCCGCATTCTTTCGCTCATCTTGTTGCGCACAGGTGATGGTGATGATCGTCCAAGCACCATAACAATACATCTCATTCTCGCACATGTCTGCCTCTGCGAGTGACTAGTACTAGTTCATCGCGTGCTGCTGTTGTAGTTGTATCGCTTCTAGTTCGTTCTACTACACGCTCATGTGGCCGTCGAGTGCTATAGTTTATACTGAAGCTATGTTAACTCAAAGAGCTGCTAGTACGGATTTTATCTACCACCTTCTTCGCGGTTTATTGATTATATTACAACTACCTTCTGGCTGAAAACTAGATTTGGATCCGGATCTCCATTTTTACTTCTCGAGTCCTAAATATCGAACGGCTTCATTTCGACGAGCATCGTTCTCTCACTCTTAGTATTTCTGTCGCGCAGCTAGGCAATTCTTCAAATTCATGTTCTTACTTTATTGAATAGGAATTTTCTTGTTAGGCAGTCAACATCAGAGTGCAACATGGAAAATCCTGAATCCCATGAGAGCCCCTGGCTACCTACTTATTGACGATGCCTGCTAACACGAAGAATTAAAGTACCCCACTGCTGAGAAAAAACTCGTGGAAAAAAGCTCGGTCAAGTATCTACTACTCCAGAAAAAAAATGAGGTCGAACAAGGAAGTGCTCGATGTGTCAATGAATGCAAATATGTTCAAACTACGGAAAAAAAGAAAAAAACTGTGTACCTGAAAAACTACTAAAAACAAAAACTAGACAGCGTCAGTGCCTGTCTGCTGCAGGTTGATATCCTGCAAAGTTGGAAACTACAGTAAAACCTTCTAACAACAACAAATAAATACGTCCATCGAATGGAAATAGGGTCGGCTAATTTAGAAGAAGGCTCGAGCTGCACCAGCACCCCGTTCTTTCGTCGAGCAATTTGCGCGTACAGCAAGCAAAGTAAAAGTGCAACTTATCTCGATTTTCTCTATCTAGTACTACAATTACAAAGACCTAAGGTTTCTCACATGATGACACAGCTGCAGGGCTGCGCATTTCCTTTTCGTTTCCCTCCACCCCCTGCTGTGGCATCATCGTAGTTGTCGAATTGGTCCCGCTCCCAATTTTCGCCTGGCTGGGGCTCCCAGCCGTAGCCCTCACTTGATTCGGATTCCCCTTTTCTCTTGCCATACGCAGACCAGTGCTCGCGCTCGTAGCTCATGTCCTTTCTTCTAGACGGAGACTTGATAAAGTCCTTCCGGTATCAACTGCAAATATGTCTGGGTCTGGAAAGTTGTGATGCAGGTCACTGAATAATAACCACACTGTAATGCGCCCCCAAGCATGACGACTTCTGTGTATGTGTTGCGTATTCCGCATGAGAAACTGCGTGTTTGCATGACAGGCAAGAGGAGCTCCTGGTTGCCACGCAGTACAGATACCAGAGTCATGCCAGACTAGCATGACAAATCTCGCAATGTCCCAGACCCAGACATTTTTGCAATCCATATCCGGTGCTCGTACGTCGCCATCTTCAACGGGGAGCCGTGGCAGTGCCCGCACACCGTGGCGGCGCCGAAGGACCAATCGAAGTCTTCCCACTGCAGGAAGAACACGCCGTCGTCCGACTTCACAAAGCTGTTGTGAGGGTTTTTTTTTGGTGAGATAGTAAAATCCTTTCAGAATCATAGTGTTGTTCTTATAGTTGGAACAAGAGAAACAACACGAACTGCGATTCATCTACTCTGAAGGACGACGAGGCAGGATCCAGAAAGACCGATTTTTTTGTTTTGTTTCTCGTCATGAATCTCTTATTTGCAGCATGCGTGGATTCTTTTTCTTGTTTTGTTTCCACTTCCCCACGATAATGCTAATGGCTCTTTGACATGGATAGTAGCAGCGCACAAAGGTTTTTCTTGTGTTCGTAGACCGACCGCTTGCTTGCTCTTTTTGGTCCTAGCGATAAATCTGACTTCTGATCGGTTGGTTCCGAAGGACTGAACTGCAGGGCCAGCAGATAGCAGAGGTAATAGAGGTAGCGATAGCCATATTAGGTCGTTCACAAAACGCGCAACTTCCTATGTATTCAATAGCTCTATCTTACAGTACGGGGCAACAGTAGTGCGTCGGGTTCATTTGGAAGCGAGGATGAGATGGTGCTAAGAAAGGCTTCTTATTTCGGGCCGAGAGAGAGTACAAATTCGCCGCTTCATCTTCAGTTGGAGGTGGTGGTCAATGGGCTCAAAGGCGGAAAAGAATGGCACCAAGGGAAATGGGACAAGTATTAACGGGATGAAGTTAATATCATCTGCGGAGATGAGAATCCATCGCAGAACATGCGGGATAACGCCGTGGACAGGACCTTTCATCCTCCTCCGTGGCGCCACATCTACTTGGCCTCACTGTGGTCGGCGGGGCGATGATCATGCCGTTGATGGTACTTTCCGGCTTTTGAAGTAAAAGGAATTATTGCGGAAACAGGAGAGGACGCGAGGGTGACAAGAATAACTCAAGGGATGTCGGCTGGAAATAGTACGAAGGAAGCAACAACGCGAGCACGAAGAAGTGGCGGCCGATTCAGACTTGAGTTCGATATATATCACATCTACATCATGCATAGAGGGACACCTCCACGCGTTTTCATTTCTTTTCCCATGATATATGATCACGATTTTCGTGCTGCTGAAAACTCTCATCTCGGTCAGAATATTGATGTTAGCGGCTCTTTCAATTATACAGACATGCTTTTGATTTGCTCCTTGTCATTAGCGATTGAAGATCTATCACCCTGAAGATCGGCTTTTGCGTATAAAATTTCCATAGGCAACCGTGATAGAGGTATCCGGAAAAAAAAGCATCCTTCCATTCCTTGCAGTTTTTTGTAGAATTACACCGAACTTCGAAGGTCAAGCGCTATGCTAATCTTGGGCTTTCTTGATGTAGTACAAGTGTGACAGCAGGATGAGGACCTACAGCTAGACACCAATCATGGCATGTAAATGCATACCAGCAGCTACAAAAGCTCGTCGCTTAAGTTCAGGATCAGCTGTTAGCGCGTCAGAAGATTCTGCTGGTGGTAGGGAGCTGCAAGAATTCTGCTCCATCTTAGCCCGGCTCCAGCAAATCTGCGCCCAGTCTCCGCCGGGCAGCACCACCCGTGCTTGCAGCATGACCGACGCAGCGCGGCCAAGCGGATGAAAAGCAGGTCAGAATTATCTTCAAGACAAACCAGAAGCGAGGGAAGGTGGGAATAAAGGCTCTGGCAGAAATAATCCACCGACGTAGTGGAGTGCTGGCCCCAGACGGAAGCAGAAGCGGAAGGGCTGCTGAGGGTGCGTACTGGGACTCCGGGACTGGACTACAACTCGTCTGGGTCTGCAAACAATCAGCGAAGTTGTAGCGCATCTAATGCGTCTTTCTTTGATCGATCTTCGAGTTGTGATATTGATCAGGAAGCTATAGTTTTTTCTTCGTTAATTTACAGCTGGTGTTGAGCTTATCCGAGCGCTATAATGTAGCACATAGCTAAATAAGCACTGTAAGCATGATAAATTTTCTAGCTGCGCCAGGTTTCATTGGTGCTGACGTTTCTCCTGCCACAACAATGGCACACGAAGAGCGAGTTCCTACTGTAAGTTGAAGGTCTTATATTGCATACTAGTTGTGTCATGCGAACTGACGATGTCATTAGTACTAGTGGGCACGGCCGTATTAGAAGATAGGAGCAAGGTTGCATTTATTTCGTCTCAGTTTCCTCGAGCACCCTAAATCGGCGTGGCCGTGGGGATATTATCTTCTATGCCGTGTTGCAATACAAATTCCGAGTCCCCAATTTAGCACTATCTTTTTTTCGTTCATGCAACACGCCATTGATTAATTAAAACTTCCCCTATGTACGTTACTTTCAGCTGTACTTGTGGACTAGCATCTTCATCCTGCCACCCTATTAATTTACACCTGTTACAACTTCTCTTTCCGAAGCCCCGCATTGTAAGTAGTGCCGCTGGCTGCAACATATTACGACCTCTACAAGAACCAGAGAGCTTCAGCCCTGCAGTTGCAGTTCATTCCATTTCCAGCATTGATTTCCAAAAACATAAGTCAAGCGCTACACTTTCCTTTCTCCTGATGTAATCTTCACGAGTACGTAGTGCAACGGTTGGTTTTATTCTAGAATTCGCCTGCGTAGCGCTCCACCCAGCGGCCAGCGAATAGAATCTTCACGAAGAAGAAGAACGGCATCATGCCAGCTTCTAAGTAGAGACCACATTCATCACTAAAGCAAACAAATGACAATAAAGAGTAGAGAAACCAAATCAAAATAAACAATAAGTACTTGAGCGCCTTGGCAATCTCGGGGTAGTAGTCCCAGACCGCGCTCTGATCGGCCCAGAGTCCCGTCCATTCCCCGTGCCCCCAGGGATTTCGGATTTTCACGAACTTCGCGCGGGTACCGCCCTTCAGCCAGTACTGCCCCGCCGGGCACTTTTCGTACATTTTCGCGGTGTCCGCGTGTCCGGCCATCTTCCGGATCATGGAGCCCTGCACCTGGTTTGGCTGTTTGAAGCTGATGGTGTCCTATGCATTGCAAAAATGTCTGGGTCTGGAAGAATGCAACTTGTCATGCTAAATCTGAAACATGCAAAAATCTGTGTTGCATGATTACCAATAAAGCTGTTCACTTTTGAGAAGGCCGAGAGACAGTTTCTCATGCGGAAAAGGCATGGTAAAGATCTCACAAAATCTGTGACGCTAGGGCATGCATCACAGACCTCACACGTCATGCAAAACGTGCATGACAAACCTGGCAATCTTCCAGACCCAGACATTTTTGCATTTGATATGTCCCCGTTGCGCACGCTCAGCACCTCGTCCGGAAGAAAATTCTTCCCGCTCGTGGGCGTTTCGTAACACCTATCCACAGTAAATTTCCCGTACACGTACAAAGAAATGCGGTCTCTGCATGACAAAACTGGGCTCCGATCCTAGTCTAGCATGACAAGTGTTACACGGGAAATTGGTGAAATTTGTGATGCATTTTGTACATGTACAGGAAATTTGTATTTTTGCATAACACCACTTCAGCTTCCCGTGGTTGCCCTCCAGCTTGAAGTCGTAACTCTTCATGGTCTTCTGCATCACCGTGCCCCGCCACTTCGTGGGGGTCTCCTCCGAGTAGTGCCGGAACCGAATCGGGCACCCGGTCTCGTTGACGAGGTGCAGGACCTTTTCGTTTTCCCGCTCCTGCGCGGAGATGGGGGTTTTCGTATGCATTGCAAATGTGTCTGGGTCGGGAAGGATGCAAAGTTTGCCATGCTTGTCTGGCATGACTGAAGAGTTTGTCATGCGTGTGCCAGAAGAGACCCTTTGACTTGTCATGCAAAAACGCAACGTGTCATGTGGAGAGCGCTACACTGAGCCGCGCAACTATTTCTCATGTTGCTTGGCTGATGTGCATTACAGAGCATTCACGATTCACAACTCGGCATTACAAGTTTCCAGACATCCAGGGATATTTGCAATGCATATTTTGCAAAGTCCTGCAAAAACTGCACGTAGCCGTCCCGGCCCCCGCGGGGCATCTCCATATCCCGCACGTCTAAGATGGAAAACACGTATCCTGAGTAAAAACGTCCCCACCCCAGAGTCACGTTGGTAAATCTGCAACACAAATCTCCAAGGTTTGGAAATTGTGCATGACAAGTTCTTTCCATCTGCAGTGTAGTGCTGTTTAGCAAGGGGAGCGCATGATAAATTCATTTTCTCATCGTGTTTACTTACAGCATTACAGATTCCAAAACACGACTGGAAAGAACGCGTCTCATGGAGATGCGCATTACAAATGTAGTTCCTGTAGTCGCAAATCTGCATGACAACTCTAGGGTGGGACGTTTTTACTCAAGATAACACGTGCCCGGGGATCAGCCCGTCCTTTCCCTCGCAGCCCGAGGTGGTCATCAGGAAATTTCGGCCGCGGAAGTCCAGCATCTTTTCCACCGTCATCTGCGGCTCCAGGATCTGGTTGTTGGGGTTGCTGTGCCGTTTCGAAGTTTCCAGCTCGTAAATCTCGGAGCCGGCCGTGAGGGCCTCCATCGCCTTGGTGGACCCGATGGGCGTGATGATGTTTTGCATCCCGCCCCGGAGGTTTTGGTAGCACCCCGCCCACTTCGCGAACGCCTTCTCGATCAGGACCGGCCAGAGCTCGCCCTGGGTGGCGGAGGAAACAAACTTCGGATTGGCGATGTTGCCCCGGTCGACCGGAATGCGGTCGTCGAGCAGCAGCCACCGGATCTGTATCCTGTGCAAAAGTATCGCACTCGTAGTAATTGCAATCATGCATTACAAATTTTTTTCTGAAGCTAAATCCGCATTACAAATGGTATTTCTCATGCTCACGAAATTTGTAATGCATTTATACGATTACGAGTACGATACTTTGGCAATGCATAATCTGCCCCTCGACGACAATGCGAAACGTGAACACCCCGAACTCCGGCACGTGCGTGATGGCCCGCTTCACGAACTCCGGGTCTTCGCGGTACGCGCACGCGGCCAGGATGGACGTGAGCCAGCAATCGCCCACGTTGTGCTGTCGGATGTCCGTCTCGTGGACGCCGTCCGGCGCAATCAAAAACTCCGGGTGCGATATGTCCGGGTTGTTGGCGATCCGGGACTTCAGGATCCAGGGTCTCCGCCAGTCGGTGGCGTCGCAAACCTTCCCGTACCCGTTGTCTCCGTCCGGGTCGCATTCCGAGCAAATCACTTTCCGGTCGAACGGGCCGTCGAAATTCAGATCCACAAAAAGCGTCGCGTCCTCGTGGATCAACTCTTTCACTTCGCTCGTGCGCAACTGCAGGTCCTTCCCCACGGAATCAATCTGCTTCGCCGTTGCCTGGGTTTGCTCCTGCCGCACCTCGTTTTTACTCACCTCGCTCATCGCTTTAAAGTGCTGTTTCGCGATCACCGCGGTGATATAGCGCGCCTCCTCGACCGCAATATCGGAGTTGAAAGAATCCCGTTGGTGCTCACCCTCGAAGAAAGGACCACGGCGGAGGTGCTCCTGTGGGGCGGATGAGAAATTTGAATTTTTTATTTTCGATGTAGTAAACATGAAGTTGACCACCCCACGTCGATTCATGCTAGTTGTAATAGGCCGCCGTCATTTGTTCCCATTGTAGGGACCGCTGGTGCACGTCAAACACATAAACTATCATGCGGGGACTACTTCGAATGCTTTTGCTTGCATGTTTGTCGTGGTACCTATAGACACTTTTTTTCATACACTATGTCGACAGTGCTTAAGTTGTACATGGTACGTAGTGAAGCTGAAGATATTGAAGACTCATCAAACAATACAAGGTTTATCAAAGACAGTAAGTACAACTAAATACCCTCCTCCTCTCGTCCCGCGCGCGCTTGTCGATAGCATTCTGTACTTTCTCGTCCCGGTCTCCGTCGTCCGAGGAAGGGCTACTGTGAGAGGAAGTTGTCTCTACTTCACTGGCCATGTCCGCTTGCTGTTGTTCGCCCTCAAACTGCATCTGGACTTGTTCCGGCGCCGCTTCCTCCCCCTCCTGGGAATGTCTCAAGTGCACCGATATCAAATGCAAAAATGTCTGGGTCTGGAATGTTGCCGGGTTTGTCATGCATATTGTGCACCTAGACCAAACTACATGCATATTTTGCATGACCCAGGACGTCTGTAATGCATGGCCTAGCGTCACAGATTTTCAGAGGGCTTCCTGATGCCTATTCCGCATGACAAATACCCTCCCCGCGTAGCACAAACTAGACCCCTCTTGCTGATCATGCAATACAGATTTTTTTAGTGTCCAAAGTTAGCATCACAAGCTTCAACCTTGCAGACCCAGACATTTTTGTACTTGATAACCGACCTTCGCATCCCCGCTTTGTGGTTGGAGATCCGCGTCTATCCTGTGCAAAAGTATCGTACTCGTAGTAACCGCAGTCATGCATTACAAATCTCCATCCTAAGGCAAAACAGCATGACAAATACCATTTGTCATGCTGAGCCAATTTGTAATGCGGTTACTACTAGTGCGATACTTTTGCAAGGCATAGCGTCCGCACCGAGGAGCCCTCCATGTTGGTCACCTTCTTCACCGCTTTTAGTGGGACCTCCTCGGCTATCAAATGCAAAAATGTCTGGGTCTGGAAGATTGGAAGATTTGTCATGCACATCTGACATGAGCCATAAAGGCTGTGATGTATGCCCTAGCATCAAAGATGTTCTGAGTGCTTCTTGATGCATATCCTGCATGAGAAATCAATGCCCTCTCTCCACGTCGCAAAAACTGGAGTCCTATTGCCTGTCATGCAACACACATTTTTTTTTATTTTTTAGAATCCAACAATAGCATTACAAGTTGCATCCTTCCAGACCCAGACATTTTTACATTTGATATCGGCGTGCCCGTGCTTGTGGACCGCGGACACGCGTTTGTAGACCTCGACCTGCGTGCCCCGGCGGTCCTTCTCCAAGTCGGAACCCGGAAAATTCATGCTGTTGTCGTACTCCACGTGCGAACCCAGAATGGAGTCCGCTTCCTCGCTAGTTGGCAAAGAGCCGTATGCATTGCAAAAATGTCTGGGTCTAGAAACTTGTGATGCAAATCTACGAACAATGAATCTTCAATTGTGGGCGCGCTGCAATATGCAGCCCAGCATGACAAGTTTTTCAACTGCTGTGTGTTTCGTTTTTCGCATGACAAACTGCGTTTTTGCATGACAGGCAAGAGGCCCTTTGCCTGCTCATGCATCACAGATTTAAGAGTCATGCCCGACAAGCATGCCAAACCTTGCATCCTTCCAGACCCAGACATATTTGCATTTGATAAGCCATACTGGCTGACGATCTCCTCCGGAATGACCCCCTTCAACAGGTTCCGGACGGCTTTCTGGATCTCGATGATCCGCGGCAGCGGGTCCTTGGTGTAGAAAATTGGGCCGGTGTGCTTAATATGCAATACAAATATCCCTGGACGTGGACGTCTCAGCGGAAGGATGAACCTGTATTGCGAGTCTCGCATTCCTGAAAAATCTGTATTGCATCATCTTCCTGAGTAACAAAAGTTCTCGCAGTCTCTCTTGTGGTCATGTTGCAAAAAGGCAGCTTCTCATGCAGACTGTGTATGAGCGGAGAAAGCGTAGTTCTGCAAATTTGTCATGGAGTATCCTGCATTTGGAAGTAGAGCTCTCATCAACATCATACACAGCTTAGCATCACAAATTTCCAGACCCAGGTTTCGATATTTGCAATGCATAATTCGAGTAGCCGTTCAGGTCCGTAATGGGGGCTTCCATCACGATCCGGGTTAAGGGGCACACGCGGGCTATGGAAGTGTAAGAATCGAAATTGACAAAGTCGAAAAATTTGTGATGCACAAGATCGATACCAGTCGCGGCCTCAGGAGTTTTCAAGTGGCGCATGACAAATTTTGAGAGCAACAAAATCCGTCTGTCATGCTGTTTGGGTAAAGAAGACTGCTCCTGTCATGCTACTCTGGCAACACATTGCATACCCCTAAACAGGCCTGCAATCGGTCTCACTTGCCTGCTCCCCAATACAGGCCTACGGTGCCCTACATTTTATGCATCGCAAATTTTTCGACTTTGTCGATTTCGATCCTGACACATCCATACGGGTTTCGCGCTGGAGCCGCTCCAGGAGCGACAACCGGCGGAAGCAGTCCGTTGCCTATCCTGTGCAAAAGTATCGTACTCGTAGTAATCGCAGTCATGCATCACAAATCTCCATCCCAAGGCAAAACAGCATGACAAATTTCGTTTGTCATCCTGAGCCAAGAATTTGTAATGCGATTACTACTAGTACGATACTTTTGCAGTGCATATTGCCGAGTACCAGCCCATTTCCATCGGGAGCTTCCCGCGCCGGCGGTTGCCGTCCAGCATGTAAAATTCGTCGAAAAAGACGTAGGACTGCGGGTTTCCCTCCTCTCCGTTCTTCGCCATCCGCTTGCCATCAGGCGCGACCACGCGCAACTCCTTCACCTCGCCCGCCACATACTCGGGCTGGTTTCGCGCGGTGGACCGGGTCCGCAGCCAGCACTCCTTGCCGCGGTCGGAGATCTCCGCGCCTGCGTGGATGTTCTCAATGTCCACCTTTTTGGTGGCCGTGGGGTTGCTGGCCGGCGCGGCCTCGAAGGTGGTGGCTTTCCCGAGCTGGATTTTTCGGGCCTTAATATCCAGGTAAAGCTGGTTCACCGACCTTATCGGCTGCTTGTTCACGTACAGCACGCCCTCGTAAGCGGCATCCTGGCCCGGGATCTCGATCAAACAGGAAGTCTGCGGGTTGTTGTTCTTCAGCCGCTCCCCGATGCGGGCCGCGTGCGTGAAGGTGATCTCTCCGAACGGCATATTTGATTATTATTTGTGTTGCACAAGAAGGATGAATGTATATATTTGTGCTGTTGCAGAATCCACTAATCGAATATGTTCCGTAACTCGTAGAACGACGCGAGCGAAACGATTACCAGATACTGCAGGAGAACCATGATGTTGCGGGAGGATAAAAAATCACTTAGACGTCGTGATTCAGCATAATATATGTGGGGAAAAATAACATTGAATTACTGGGTGGGTATTCGTATTACACTGTTGTCGTCACTTTGAAATGAGCGATACAGGTTCTTGTAGATACATAGTGCTTTACTTCACGACATCAAACAACATTTGTTCATCCAAGCGCACGAACGACGGCAAGAAATGACACGACCTTCACCTTCAGGACAGTGAAAGGGTGCGATAATCGTGTTGTCCTCTTCTTCGTACGATGCAGAAGCTGAATAGCTGGAATTATGATACTTATACACAAAACTTGTGAACGAACCGAGCACATTTTCCAGATGGGATATTCATCCACAGAGTCCTTGACTCCACCGACTGTAAAATCCGTGGGCAAAACAAGGCAAAACCGAAGTGTAACGGCGCCTGCTTCCCTCTTGAGCAGGCACGAGGCAACCGCAACGAAAATGCGGAGATAAAACAAAGTAAAACAAACCGAGGATGATTGGTAGAACCAGGTCGGGAGCCGAAAAACCGAGGCGAAAGGCCGGCGAGCGAAGAAATATGTCTTCGGACCGATAAAATCAAATGGCTTCGTTTTTAAGCGTGTACTGAAATTTTATACGAATGAAGACTAAAACCGATTCATTGGCGAATTTGAAACCGATAGTTCATCTCGAAGTGAGTTTGCTTTTGTAAGGACATCAACTACAACTAGTAGTGGTAGCATGATAGGCAGAGACGACAGAATATTTTTGGTTTGTGGTCGAGAAGCTTACTTTCACAATTCCTCTCCACAAGCAGCTGGCTTCTTGCATTTGGCAGCTGGCTTCCTGCATTTTCTGAGTGAAAAGCTCAAGTTCTTGTTCCCATTCTTGTTTGGGATTCTTGGTGCTCTTGGGAGGACAAGAAGGGGACAAGAAGACGAGAATTTGATCCGGTGTCTTCGTGTTGCTTGACTCAACATGGTTGTACAGCGCGAACTGAATGCAACATGGGTGGTAGAACCAACTACAACATATGATCTTCAGGGAAAATAGAACTAGAAGCGGGTAAGCTGTACGTAAGAACTTCGAGATACAACGCTAGAAGGTTTGCTTTGATGATTCCAATGTATTCGTTCGAAACAGCAGCTCAGCGCTAGAATACACGGCGAGTACTACGCCAAAATACTTCAACTTCATCTTGCTCAACGCATCTTCACCCTGGGGGGTAGTTCCGTGGTCAATTTTTGCGCGACCGGAACTACCTTCTGTCCATCACCGCTTTCCTTTCCCTCCCGTGGGTCGTGGTCAACATGAATATGATCCGTTTTCTTGTAAAGCTCGTCACCGTGATAGTAGGCATCCCAGGCCCCCTCTCCGGCCTGCGCCGCTTTGCCATCTGGAAACTGGATCGCGTCTGCATGGGCGTGCTGGGAATCGGATTCCTCCCAGATGCGGTCGACAACGTGGTCCACATCATGATGAATTTTGTGCCACAAGTCGTTGTTTTTGTCGAGCAAGTCCGCTTGAAGCCCGTCGGTGGCGGTGTGCACGGTGTCCAGCAGGATTCCCATATCAACTGTAAAAATGTCTGGGTCTGGCAATTCTGAGACTTGTCATGCACTTCGCAATGCCTATTCCGCATGACAAATTCCCTCTCCGCGTAGCAAAAATTGCATTCCCTTTGCTGCTCATGCAATACAGATTTTGTTGGAATCCAAATTCAGCATCACAAGTTGCATTCTTCCAGACCCAGACATTTTTACATTTGATATCCCATTCCCTCCAGCAACTTGTCCGTTTCGCGGTGCAGCTCCTCCGCCACGAGCTGGTATCAAATGTAAAAATGTCTGGGTCTGGAAACTTGTGATGCTGGGTGGCGTCTAATGATGAGGCTACAGATGCTGGCTCAGCATGACAAGTTTCTGAGCTCCTAGGTGTTGCCTATTCTGCATGACAAACTGCGCGTCTGCATCGCAGAAAAAGGGAGCCAGCTCTTGGGTAACGTGCATGACAGATTTAAGAGTCATGCCAGACAAGCATGACAGACATGACTTCTTCCAGACCCAGACATTTTTACAGTTGATAGCTGGGTCTGCGCTTCCATTTTCTGCTCCACCTCATTCACAGCCAGCAGCTGCAAATCGCCCAGCTGATCGCGCAAGTCGGACAGCATATTATTGGTACTACTAGTAGTTGTACCGGTGCCTGGCAGTGGCAGACCTGGTTGTACTTCTGCATCAGCCGGTGCCTCCTTCTCCTCCGCGGGCCTGGCCGTCCACGCCCGGGCCCAGTGTATGGGGGTGTCAGGATTGAAATCGTCAGAATTGAAAAGGCTTGTCATGCATAAAATCTAAACCACTTGGACCCCCAGTTCCCAATCGGCGCATGACAAATTTTCCTGGCCTCTGAAGCAAGTCTGTCATGCTGTTTAGGGCAAGAGGGCTCCTCGCTGTGATGCTAGCCAGCAATCCAATTTATGACCCTTGCCAGCACTATTATATTCTGCTTCCTTTGCGTCCTCTGCAATAGAGTCAGTCTTTGTGTCGCAGTTTATGCATGAGAAATCATTTCAACTTTGTTGATTTCAAACGACCTGACACATCCATACAGTGTGCCGTCGTCGTCACGGTTTCGGTGGTGGACGTGGAGGTCACTGTAGTGCTGATGTTCTCCTCTGCAGTTGTTGTACCTCCAGGAGCTTCCGCGTAGTTCTTACCGAATCTCTTTTGGTACTCTGCAAGGAGCTATCAACTGCAAAAATGTCTGTGTCTGTGGAAGAATTCATGTTTGTCATGCTTGTCTGGCATGACTCTTAAATCTGTCATGCACGTTACCCAAGAGCTGCGTTTTTCTGTGATGCAGAAGCGGAGTTTGTCATGCGAAATAGGCAATACCTAGGAGCTCAGAAACTTGTCATGCGGGGCCAGCATTTGTGGCCTCATCATGAGACGCCACCCAGCATCACAGGTTTCCAGACCCAGACATTTTTACTTTTGATAGGAGCTGGTCAGTCATCAGTTTCTCCTTCTCCTTCCTGGCGGTGTAGTCCAACACCTCCTGCTGGAGTTGTAGGTCAAGGTCCGGTTTTGCCGCTCCGTCCCCCTGGTCCTCTCCCCGCGTGTTTGTGGAAAAATTGTGCCGACCACGACGACCGCGCAACAGACGCTGCCGCGTCCCCAACTCGAGAATCTTCTTCCCGGAAACAAGTGGTCCGAAGAGCTCGGAAGATTCTTGATGTACACTGAGCAGAACAAATTGTACGTGTACCGTGGCGGCAAGAAACGAGGTTTTATTTCCTCGGGCCTTGTTTCTAGTATGAATATTCATTTGCGGCGCCATGATGTTCATTTTCGTCTCCATTGACCTGGTTGAAGGTGTATCTTTTCCTGCTCTAGTTGTAGTTAAGCTGTGACAGTGTAAGTAGTTCCTGCGAAGCGACAACGACGACGAGAAAACCACCCCACGGGTGATTTTTGTAAAGGTTTTTGCCTAAGGTGGATCAGACCTGCTTCACAACAGTGGTATTGTCGAGTAGGTGTGGGGCGAAAACACTACACCACGTATTCATACATAATAAGTTGCAGGTAGTACCGGTGTTGTAGTCTCATCACGACGGGGTCATATTCTGGCTTGATTGATACATCGATGAAAAGAAGACGACTATGTATGAGTAGTTTTTTTTACGATTTGAAGTGATCGTGACGCATCTACCAATCACGATTCCGGCAATTACTACGTCGACGACACGAGCATCGCACTAAGACCATTTTTTTTTGCCGTTTTGCGTTCAACACGCAGCTTGACGCAGAACGAAGTCGAGGACGCTTTTTCAGTATAAAAATCGCGTACGAGCAGACGAAAACGAACTAACTCAGCAGGAAGAAAACGGTGGAGAGGACGAACAAAGACATGTTGCAAAACAGAACTGGCCAGACTTTTCGAATGATGATGAAGATTATGTACGGAACACAAACTCCTCACGCCGGTGTGCATTCTTACACGCAAGTGGCTACCGGACCATATCTACGGCTCTTTAGGGTTGCAGGAACAAAAACGCGGCTACCCTTCGGTAGTTCTTCATCCCCGGGACAGCACAGTGCTCGGCTAACATGTTGAAGCTTCATCGACACGACACCTACTGTGGATTTGCGTTTGCTCCGTTATACTTATAATTTGTGTCGCAAGTATCATCATCATCATCATCATCATCATTTATCCTGCACTAGGGGAGGGCGTGCGGAGGTTTGGGTTCGAGTTCGTTTCAAGCTGCATCTCGAGGGTTTTTCACTGCAGCGTCGCACATGGCTTATCGTCGCACACTAACATCAAAAGGTGTCCGAATATCGAAACTACTCAACTCTCTTCAACTTGGCTGCAGCCTTGGAAATAATTATGGTATAAGAAAAATTTTCGGAAAAGAAAAAACTGCGCACTGTTGGGGTAGGTAGGAGTGCTGCAGGCCGCGCACAGATTTTATAGCCTTTAGAACTACATGTCCAGCAAAAACCTGTTCCCGCCAAAAGCTAGTGCTGCCGCCCGTTGGACACCAGCCACAACGCTTCCGAAAGCCCCCGCTTGGCGGCGTCCTCGTCCGGCCGTCCCTGCCGCGGCGACGTCTTGCTCTTCGCGGCGGCGGGGGCGGTTTTCGGGGGCTTGGATAAGATTTTCTCGCCGACGACGCGCCTCCTCCATCTCAGCCAGCTCCTTTTTGCGGCGGCGGAAGTACCCGGAGGGTTCGACTGCAACGTCGGCCTCCACCACCGACCGGTGAAAACGCACTCGCGCGGCCTCGACCAACTGCGACTCCGACTGCACTCGCGCCTCGACCAAGTGGTCGCGCGTTATCTTGATCGTATCCACCAACGAGGCATCGACCCCAACACTCTCCGCTGTCCTTACTAGTGCAGGGATTTTCGGTAACAAATCGAGTTCCTCCCTGTCGCAGGCAAGCACTTGCTCTTTGCTACTTCCCGTCGTAATGCTGTATCTTTTTTCAATTGCGCTCCTCAACTGCCGAAGCCCCCACTCCAATTGCATACGCGCAAATCTACGAGTTTTCTCTGCCTCCGACACGGTCGGAAGTTTCAGTAAAGGAGCACTATCCTGATCCGGAGTACAACCATCCGGTGCGAAAGGCGGAAGAAGTGATGGATCAATGCGAGTTTTTTTGGGATCCAAGTGAGACTTCATCGCTCTCAAGAGGTGAAGTTCATTTTCCGACCAGTCATGTGTTTTTTTTTCTTGAGGTTGAGGGTCATCACCCGAGGACGAGATTGCAATTGCAGCAGGAGGCTGATCTGCTGCAACACCTTTGACCTGCCGGGTGGAAGCCGGCTTCCCGTTCAGAAAGTTCCGAAAGGCTCCGGGGATGTCTTTTTCTGCCAGCTTTGTGCGGTGCTCGTCGTACTTCTCCGGGTTGACTGCGACGCCGGCGCTCACCAGCTCCGTTCGCTTTTGCTTGATCGCCTCCGTCAAATCCTTGCGCGCTGTCTCGATCTCCTTCACCAACGGGGAATCGACCCCAAAAACACTCTTCACTGAATCTACTATTGCAGGGATTTTCGCTAACAAACGGAATTCCTCCAAGTCGCAGGCATTGACTTGCTTTTTGCTACTTCTCGTCGTAATGCTTTTCCTTTTGGCAATTGCGCTCCACAACTCAAAACGCGTCGCCAACCCTTTTTGACGTGTACTAGTTTGCTCTGCCTCCGACGGAGGCCTCCTCGTACTTCTTTCGGCGATCGGAGGTGTCCGGTGGAAAGGAGCTGCACTATCGGGAGGGGGCAACCGAGCTTCGACCTTCAGCTCGAACGGGAAAAAATTTTTCACAACGACAACGGCCACCGCCGCTACGATTTTGACCAGCGGCGTTCGCATTTTGATTTTTTTACTTCCCGGGCACCCCATCATCTCCCTTCTCGCCGACGCGAAGTAGGAACTGAACGAACGATATGTATTAAGCGGAAGTCGGCTTGTTATTTGTCTTCTTCTAGCTTGTGTTCTGTCCGTGTCCTTGTGGTCCACCCACGTTAATTAATCGGCGACTTCTGGATAAAAAGTCCAAGCTTCTTGCTGGACCCTCCTCGCTGTGGTCGGCTAGTCGTTGCTTGTTCGACGAGAGCAGCAGCTTCTGGATAGCTTGTTTATTCAGGACTTCAGGGCCAACGTTCGATTTTTTGCTATCGTTTGGTATTGATTCGCTATTTCGTGACTCGACAAAAAATTCAAACTTGACGATTAAAAGCGGTTCTGGTTTCAGTAAAAGTTAAGTTTGAATAGTTTTAGTTACAGGAGCGCAAGAGTTTTGTAAGAAAATCTGTGCGGGGCACAGGGGGTCGAAGATCGATTTCGATCGTAGATCGTTTTGCTTTTTTTCTTTGTTTGGTCGAAGATCGATTTCGGTCGAAGATCGTAGATCGTTTTGCTTTACCAGAGCAGAAACCACCGAACTTGATCAAGATTCTAGTACTCCACTTTTTCGTAAACCGAGCCTTGCAGACCACATCAGCTTTTTTTACTAGCGCAAAAAGAACCAGGCAGACAATATATAAGTCACGACTCCTAGAAGAAGTACTGGACCTGGTGCATCTTTTGTCCAACACATGTAGTATGTTGTATACCGAGGAGGTCGAGCATGGTCTTTTCAACTGTGCTCGAGCCACATGGTCTTTTTTTTTAAGAACAAGGAACCACGGCCAGAGGAGTGATGGTTATGTTTTTGAGCACAAAAGGCTTTTGGGTTCATTCTTACGCAGCTTGCTCCTTCTTATTTCTTCTTGAAAACAGAAGAACTGATTGGTACTTATTTCCAACAAGAAAAACTGCCTATTGCTATACTTACAAGAGTCAGACTTTGCATCTGCCTCTCGAGTCGCGCCCTATCTTCTGCGTGGTCCTTTTCGAGGACAGGAGAACGTAGTTTCTGGTCTAGCTAGGCCGCCGCCGCCGGAACCATCAACGCAGGCCGACGAACAAACTGCGGCTTAAAAGTTGCAGAACCTTCCGAAGAACCCCATGTCCTCCTTTACAATCGTCTTGGAAAACGGCCTGTCCGACTGCGTCGCCTTCACCTGCACCCGCCCGGAGTTCTTCAAGTCCTTTCGCTGGCTCGCGTATCACACACAAAAAAAAACTTCTAGCATCCTTTTATCTACATTTACTCCAGCACGTGCAAATAGAAAAATCTGTCCTGCATGACCATGTTCGAAGCAGCGTGCGGGGACGGGGGCTGCTCCTCGGGCAGCAGGCCCCACTTCTTGGTGCCTTGTTCTACTTTTTGCATCGCGAATGAGGAAGATTAGTCTGGTATGCTATGGCTTCTTTTGTCGTGTGATATCGCAGACTTCGTGACGAGAAAGGAGTGTCCGTAGTCCGGCATCGTCAATGGTGAGCCTTTATCAAATGTAAAAATGTCTGGGTCTGGAAGATTGGAACTTGTCATGCTGTTTTTGGACTCTAAAAAAAATTGTATTGCATGACCTTATTTACCCCTCAACCACTATATCCCCTTTACGACCACTACCTCAGGTAGGACCTCGGGGGAGAAAGGGTCAAGCTCTAACGGGGGTCGGACCCGAGTGGAACCGTTAGAGTGGCTGCATGTCCTGGTCGAATTCGGTTATTCCAATAGCACGGTTGCGTTTCCACCGGTCAACCAGGCAAGACACGAGAACAGACAACGACGAGAGAAAGGGGCAGAGCTAGCGGATGCTGGGGTCTCCTGCAGCTGGGAAAAAGCGTCGCAAGGCGACTGGACTGGGGTCTCCAGCAGTCCACCAAAAAGCCCTTTTTGAAAAGCCGGGAAAGGGACCCCACCTATGAAAGAACCTAGAAGCACGAAGAAGGCGACCACGACTAGCGAGGAACCGACGCTCCGCTCGAAGCCGCCGCTCACCGAGCCCTCGCCGACACGCACCAAAACCTCTCCAGCCGAGCACGACCCCCGGAAGCGAAAAGGACGAGAAACAGCGACAACGACTACTAACCCGCACCGCACGACACAACGACACGTTAGGCCAAGATTATGCGCCTGCCCCCGTACGACTCTCCTTTACACCCGCGTCGGCCACCTAAAGTGTGATTGAGGTTTGTTTTGTATTGCTGTCATGACTGCCTTCAAGAAAGAAAAGAAAAAAACACCTCTAGGGCCACTTCTAACTTTTTCCTTACTGTTCTTTCTCTTTTGAAAAAAAACAGAAAAAACCATTAACGTCTCATGTCATATTACTGTTCACTTTTTTTTTCATTCAAGTCTATGTTTCTGTCTTTTTTGAGGCGCATATATATAGACACACAGATTGCATGACCAGCGAAATGGGTACAGTTTTTGCTACACAGACAGGCCATTTCTCATGCGCAAGGTGCATCAGGAAGCCCATTAAAAGTCTGCGATGCTAGTGCAAGCATTACAGGCATCATGGGTCATGAGAAATGTGCATGACAAATCTTGCATTCTGCCAGCCCCAGACATTTTTACATTTGATAGCCTTCCACGTGGCCGCACGCAGTTATCGTGGCGTAGGTGGCTTCAAAATCCTCCCACTGCTGAAAGAACACCCCGTCTATGGAAGCGTCAGGATTGAAATCGTCAAAGTTGAGATAGTAATTTGTGATGCCTAAAACGGATACCAGTGAAGCCTACAGTTTGTAGTCGGCGCATGACAAATTTTCCCGGTCCTTGAAGCGAGTCTGTCATGCGGTTTGGGGCAAAGGCGCTGCGTTTCTGTGATGCTAGTCAGCAGTCCAACTTTTGACCCTTACCAGGACTATAATCTGCCTCCCGTGCGTCTTCTGCAATAGAGTCAGTTTCTGTATCGCATTTTATGCATTACAAATTATTTCAACTTTGACGATTTCAATTCTGACACTCCCATACCGTCATCCGCCTTGATAAACTGCAACTTCTTCTGAATCTCCGGGTAGTAGTCCCAAACCGGAGAATATCAAAAGTAAAAATGTCTGGGTCTGGAAACTTGTGATGCTGGGTGGCGTCTCATGATGAGGCTACAAATGCTGGCTCAGCATGACAAGTTTCTGAGCTCCTAGGTGTTGCCTATTCTGCATGACAAACTGCGCTTCTGCATCACAGAAAAGCGGAGCTCTTGGTTAACGTGCATGACAGATTTAAGAGTCATGCCAGACAAGCATGACAAACATGAATTCTTCCAGACCCAGACATTTTTACAGTTGATAGAGAACCGTCCCCCCACATCCCGACCCACTCCCCGTGGCCCCAGGGATTGCGGATTTTGATCAGCTCTATTTCCTCTGGCGCAGAAGGGGATGGTGGTAGCGCACCAGCGCCACTGGGAGCGCCGGCTTGTTCCTTTGAAGAATTATTCGACTCGCCGGTCATCTGCTGGTCTGCTCCCTGTGCTAGTACTTCTTGCTTCTGTTCATTCGAATTTTCCTGAACAAGAAGATAACTGAGCCAATGTTTTCCGGCCGGGCTGTTTCTGTACGCAGTCGCGGTTTCCTCGTGCCCCGACATTTTCCGAATCTGGGACCCCTGGACCTGGTTGGGTTGTTTGAACGAGATGGTGTCTCCGTTTTTCACCTCCAAAATTTCGTCTGGCTTGAACTCCTTGGCCGACGTGGCGGTTTCGTAACACCACTTCAGTTTTCCGTTTCTGTATCCAATGGAAATCTTTACAATCTTGTTCGCACAACAACTTCATCTCGTCAACCTCGAAATGTATGAGCGTTTTGTGTGTTCGTTGCATTCGTCTGTGGAAAAATTTTTGGACCACAAGAACGAACTACAACATGCTAGTGCGGATGAAAAAGATAAACAACGCGCTATGCATAATGCTCCAGCACCTTGGCAGGCACTACTGCTTCAATTCCCTATTATACCTAAGCGGCGGGGAGGCGTTCGTGGATGCACTGCATTTTTTTCAAGTAGGTATACATATACAAGTTTTTGAGGCGCGTAGAGTGGCTGTTGTAGTAAATGGTGAAGATTCCTTACATTTTAAAAGCATATTGTCCCCTCGAGTTTGAAGTCATACTTTTTCGTCGTTTTCGCCATCAGGCCGCCGCGCCCCCGGGTGGGCTGCTCGCGGGAGAAGTGCCGGAAACGAATGGCGACGCCGGTTTCGTTGACTGGTGTGTGTGAGAATAAGATGTTGGTCGACACGGAAACAAGAATCTTCAACAGAAGATGAAGATGATGAGTTTGGTTTTATTGATGACCAGAGTGATAACTGTTAACATCAAGGAGCAGGACGCTGCAAGAATAGTTGTCATCTATCATCATACAAGAAATTTTTCTTCACAACTTCTTCTAGAACGAGCTGCGCGAAGTTTGTGTGCGTGTTGTAGTTTATCTCAAAGTAAATTCTATACCGAAATGCAGGACTTTTTCCGCCTCCCGTTCGGCGTCGGAGATGGGTGTTTTGGAAAATTCCGTCAGGAATGCCTCGAATCCGGCTGGCCCTCGCGGGAACTCAACCTTGCACACGTCCAAAAGACTGAAGACGTGGCCGGGAATCAATCCCATGCCATTGTCACACCCGCCGGCCGTCATCACGAAATTTCGGCCCTGCAACTCCGATAATAGCCTTGCCGTGGCACGGGGATTATGAATTGCAAATCAATGATCTGGCGGGTTTGGATCTGTCATCGACCAGGTTTTTTGGAGGACTGCTGCATCAAGATCTGTCGTGCAATACTATTACGATGAGCGATTTCATATCCGGTGTTGTGCTGAAGTCAGTTTGTCATGCGCTTGGATCTGCAGTAAGAAGCATCGCAAAACCTCTGATGCTGTTATTTTTATGCCGTACTAAACGTACAACCGGCCGGTTTGCATCGCAAACTACCATCGGCAAATACACAGCCACTGGTTCTTTATCTTTTTCTTTCCAGACCCAGACATATCTATTATTTGCAATGCATACCGCTTGTTCGCCACAAAATTTGCGCCCTTGCCGCTCCTCGCCCGCGCTTCCACGGCTTTTAAGGTTTCGATCTCGATGACCTCGGAACCGCACGTCAAGGCCTCCAGCGCGCGGCCGGATCCGATGGGAATGATATGCCTTGCAAAAGCATCTTCACCCGAGTGGGAGTGCTATTGATGTTGATCGCAGTCATGCATTACAGATCTCTTTCTTAAGGTAAATCCGCATCACAAATTTCGTTCCTCACGCTAAGGAAATTTGTCATGCAATTTGTAGTAGGTTAGTACGACATCGAGGATACTTTTGCACAAGATAAATGACCACGTTCTGCAACCCCCCGCGCAGGTTTTGGTAGCACCCGGCCCACTTAGCAAACGCCTTCTCGACAAACACCGGCCACAGTTCTCCCAGGGTGGCGGAGGAAACGAACTTGGGCATCTTATAACCTGCTCAGCTGCTGCTACAACGACCTCAAGTGCGGGAGAACTATGTATAAACTTCTCTTGTATTTAATAGAACAACCCATGCATGATGGTCTGCAAGAAAGCGAAAGTAGCCTACTGCTCGATTTCGCTTTTTATATGCAAATGCAAGACCTTCTTCGCTTCCCGTTCCCCACGAAAGTAGTTTTAAGATAGCTATGCTCGGATAATTTGAATTTCAGTGCAGTAGTTATTTAATAGAGCCGGGTGCATCGTGTTTTCATTCATGCTAAACTGCACCTTTAGAGCTTCTAGACTTAGACAGATCGACAACTATTTTTCTACTACTTCTTGGCGTCGCAAGTTAATACTTGTTTCGAATGAGATTGTGCTAGGAACAAGTGAGCAGGTGATACATTTGGGGATTCGTTTTTTCTATGCATTGCAAAAGTATCGTACTAGTATAAATCGCAATACAAATTTCCTTAGCGTTAGAAATGGAATTTGTAATGCCGATTTGCCTTAAGAAAAAGATTTGTAATGCATGATTGCAATTATACGATTACGATACTTTTGCACAGGATATTTTCCACGGGAATGAAGTCGTCGAGAAGGAGCCAGCGGTACTATCAAAAGGGAAAATCCCCCCTCCCCATATCAAAGAAATGGAAATCTGTGATGCAGATTTGTTGTCACAAATCAGCTTTGTCATGCTACACGGGAAAAGATGCGGACTGTAGTGCTGGGTGGCGTGGGGAAGCCTTGCATCTTCAGCATGATAGGAGGCAGCTGAGAGTGGGAAACGGCATGACAATTTTCCTGCAAACGAGGCCACGACTGCGGCTCTTGGCCTTTTAGCATGACAAATCGATTAATTTTTTGTGACCTCAAATACAGCATCACAAATTTCGTTTTCGATATGGGGAGGGGGAGTTCTTCCTTTCAATAGGTACTGCCCTTCAATTACCAATTTCACGGTGAAAAACCCCAGCTCTGGGCAGTGCTCAATCAGCCGCGGCACGAAGTTCGGATCCTCTCGGTACGCGCAGGAAGCGAGGATACTAGTGAACCAGCAGTCGCCGACGTTGTGCTGCCTGATATCCGACTCGTGGATCCCATCCGGAGCGACCAACATCTCGGGAAAGTATCGCGAGGAAAAATGCCACCAACCTCAAAGTTGCAAAAATTTGTGATGCAAAGTTTCCAAATGAAAACTTTCTGTGATGCATGAAAGGAGTATGAACCTTTCTGATGCAGAGTCTAGGTTTGTGTCGCATCGCTTGCATGACAAGCGCCGCTCTTGCTGGCATCTTTTGCAATACAAATTTTTGCTATTCACGATCGGAAATCTGTGATGCTGATAGATGCAAGAGGGCGAGTGTTTCATTTGGAAAGGTTTGCAATACAAATGCTCCCAACGATTCGGGGGTGGAGGCATTTTTCATTGTAGTAGAAAGTCGAACTTCTGCTGTAGCTCCCTCATCCGCTCGATCGACCACGGCCGCCGCCACGCGTATGGATTGCAAAAATGTCTGGGTCTGGAAGAGTCGGAGCTTGTCGTGCACATTTTGAATGACCCATCAAGTCTGTGATGCTGGTGCTAGCATCACAGATTTTTTGAGAGCTTCTTCATGCTCAGAACGCATGAAAAATGCCCTCTCCGCGTGCCAAGAGCTGACTCCTCTTCCTGCTCATGCAACACAGATAAGATATTTTTAGAATCCGCAGACAGCATTACAAGTTCCACTCTTCCAGACCCAGACATTGTTACATTCGATAACGCGGTGCCTTCGGCCATTTTCACGTACCCCGAGTTGTCCCCCTTGGGGTCTATCAAGTGGAAAAATGTCTGGGTCTGGAAGATTTCGGAATTTGTGATGCATATTTTGTATGATCCATGATGCATGTAATGCATGATCTAGCATCACAGATTTTTAGAGGGCTTTCTGGTGCCTATTCCGCATGAGAAATGCCCTCTCCGCGTAACACAAACAACGGGACTCCTGTTGCTGGTCACGCAATACAGATTTTTTTGGAATCCAAAGACAGCATGACAAGTTGCAATCTTCCAGACCCAGACATTTTTACATTTGATAGGGTCGCAGTCGCTGCAAATCACCTCGTGGCGTTGACCGCAGCTCCCGCCAACGATGTCAGCTTCGAAGGAAAAATCGATGAACAACCCGTCCGGATCGTAAGGCGTGTGCATCGTTTCCGCGATGTGCGAATTGTGCATCTTCGTGATCACTGCGGCGATGTAATTCGCCTCGTCGAATATCTCCTCGTCCTTTTGGTTGTCATTTGTCGCATGATCTCCAGGGGGCATCAGAAGTTCATCTGGAGCAGCCTCTTCTTCACCTGGCAGAAGTGGAGGCGTCTCGTCTCTTTCTTCATTTTTCATCCCGTTGGCAGTTTCATCCTGATCTCCGTGCCTCTGGATCACAGAGTCCACCATCTCTTGTTTGTGGGACTCCACCACGTTTTTTGCAACAGAAGTTGTACTTGTCGCAGCTGCCGCCTGGAGGGACTGGTGCACCTGGGTTGCGGATACCTCGACCTCTTCGTGGTATCAAATGTAAAAATGTCTGGGTCTGGAAGAATGCAACTTGTGATGCTGCATTTGGATTCCAGGAAAAATCTGTATTGCATGAGTACCAAAAGGAATGCAATTTTTGCTACGCGGAGCGGGCATTTGTCATGCGGAATAGGCATTAAGAAGCTCTCAAAAAATCTGTGATGCTAGGGCATGCATCACAGACATCAGGGCTCATGCGAAACGTGCATGACAAACCTCACATTCTTCCAGACCCAGACATTTTTACATTTGATACGTGGTCCGGATCTACCAAGACTCCGCCGTGATGGTCCTGCACAGACCTTAGCAACTGCTCCTGTGCGTACAACCTCGACTCGTGGTGCTTTTCGTAGTAAAAGACGGTGGCATTTTCGCACTCCTTCTGCTCAAATTTCTTCAAAACCGCATCGGCCTCGGCGTTGGACATGGGGAGAGAGGTTTGCCCCGCCATGTGCGACAACAGCAACTCTTTCACTTTCTGCTGCACGTGACGCAACCGCGGCGCCGGGTCCTCCGTGTAGAAGATCGGCCCGGTGTGGCGCAAATACCCGAGATAGTCCGTGACGGGCGCCTCCATCAGGATCCTCGTCATCGGGCAGATTTTCGTCTCACGCTGCAGCATATCAAATGCAAAAATGTCTGGGTCTGGAAACTTGTGATGCTGGGTGGCGTCTCATGATGAGGCTACAAATGCTGGCTCAGCATGACAAGTTTTTGAGTTCCTAGGTGAAGGTGTTGCCTATTCTGCATGACAAACTGTGCTTCTGCATCACAGAAAAACGGACCTCTTGGGTAACGTGCATGACAGATTTAAGAGTCATGCCAGACAAGCATGACAAACGTGAATTCTTCCAGACCCAGACACTTTTACATTTGATACAGCATGTCCAAGAGCGACAAGCGGCGGTAAACGTATCTCGCATCGTACCAGCCGGAAGTCGGCGAAGAGAGAGTCGAATTATGAGACGACGAAGGACCTGCTCGTCCACCTCCGTTGTTCGTATTCGATTCTTCCACTTGTTCATCTCTCTCTTCGCCACTGACCACATAAAACCTTGGGTCTATGTAGACATACGACTCGGGCATGCGCGTCTCCGCATTCACCCGCAACTCCTTCACAACACCGGCAAAAAACGTGTTCTCGATCCCCCCAGAGGTTCCGCGGGCGACGCGCAACAGTATCAAAATGAAAAATCCCCCCTTTCCGTATCAAAACGAAAATCTGTGATGCGGGATTTGTGTACACAAATCAGATCTCTGTTCTTGCAGTAGAGTACTGCACGCAGATCGCAAGCCTACTTAGGCAGGGGCCTTTTGGTGTAGGCGTCCAGCATGGCAGGCGTCCGCTGTGTAGACCTTGAAGCATGACAAATCGTCTGCATAGCGCGGCGCTCTCTCTCAATTTGCCATCCTGCAAGACAGACAGGATTTGTGGCCACAAATCTGCATCACAAATTCTCAGACGCGGGATACGTTCTCAATATGTTGGGGAGGGGGGATTTTTCCTTGCAATAAACAGCCAGCACTCTTTCCCCCGGTCTATGGCGTTCTCAAATGTTACATTCTCAACTGTTACATGATTTGTCATGCAAAATTGCCATAAGCAACCGCACGACCAAGCGGCTGCGCATGACAAATCTCAGAAGGGCTAAACAGCATGGAAATCGGTGCCAAACTTGTGATGCTAGAGTTGCAAGGTTCTCCCTTTGACTTTCGCTGTTCTTGCATCACAAATTCATGTAACAGTTGAGAATGTAACAGTTGAGAACTCCATACGGTCGGCCAGCTCGTTCGGGCTGTGGATCTGGTCTATAACCCGCTCAGGTGTTACAATCTCAAATCGGTTACCATAGAATATGGAAATCTGTGATGCAAAAGTGCATGATCTAGCCTCTTCCCACAGGATTGCGCATGACAAGTTCCGGAGGGCCAAACCTCACTACAATCTGGCGAAATTTGTATTGCAAAAGGTGGAACGCTGTGCGAGTCTGTCATGCTCATCATGCAACACAAATTTCAGACTCTATGGTAACCGATTTGAGATTGTAACATCTGAGGAAGCCATATGGTCGAGAGCCACTTTCTGCCCGTTGTCCGCCGTAAACTGGGTCCCTTTCGTCAGCCGTTTCCGCTTGTCCTTGATCATCTGTGCGAGCTCCAGGATCGTCCCGGTCACTTCCACGTTGTCCATTTTCAGACTTGCGGTTTCGGCCGCCGTGTCGCGCTGCGTGGCCTCGGTGTTCACAATCGCCGCGCATCTTGGCGACGCCGCATTTTCCAGAGTCACGAGACCACTGTGGCTGAACAGGATCTTATGGAGCTCTCAAATGTTACATTCTCAGCTGTTACATGAATTTGTAATGCAAGAATGGGATGAAAAGTGGAAGGGGGGAAGTTGCGCCTATTGCATTACAGGTTTGGCGCAGATTCTCAGCCTCTTGGGCTCTTCGACAATTTGTAATGCGAAGCAGCTTGATCGTTTCGATTTCTGATTGCCATTTTGCATGACAAACAAGGCCCACCCGAGCGTGGGGACAGGGTCCCCACGCTGGGGCCTTGTGCCCTTCCCTAGTGGCGCTAGTGGGGGAAGGGTGTTCGGCATCGGGGCGGACAGCGTCCGCCCCTCGCCTCACACCAGGCGCACGCATGGTGGCTCAGTGCGCGAAGCACTAGTGGGGGAAGGGTGTTCGGCATCGGGGCGGACAGCGTCCGCCCCTCGCCTCACACCAGGCGCGCGCATAGTGGCTTAGTGCGCGAAGCATTAGTGGGCGGGGGAAGGGTCGTGTTCGGCATCGGGGCGGACAGCGTCCGCCCCTCGCCTCACATCAGGGGCGAGCATAGTAGCTTAGCGCGCGAAACGCTAGAAGTGGGGGAAGGCAGGGCGTTCACCCGTCGCGGGCACCTGTCAAGGTCACCTGTCAAGGTCACCTGTCGAGGTCACCTGTCGAGGTCACCTGTCGAGGTCACCTGTCGAGGCCACCTGTCGAGGTCGCCTGTCAAGGTCACCTGTCAAGGTCACCTGTCGCCGGGGGTATGCCGTACCAGAGCCCGGAAGTCAAGCAATGTAAATATTAATCATGTAACAATTGAGAATGTACCGTTTGAGAACGCCATAGATCTTTGTGGCATCCTGGGAAAGGACTCGTCCTCTACTGGTGGTGCGCGAAGGGCGAGGCATAGTGATCGAATGATCTAAGTACGGTCTCCTGCAGCGTGGTAAGTAAGTTTTTTTAAAAAGAGTGCGTGATCTGGTGGTGTTGAAAATTTTATCTTAGCAGGTCGTTATCTTCTCGCGAAGACAATAGAAACTACAAATTTGCGTGTAAAAATCTTCTTCGATCGGCGACCATGTCGTGGTGAGTCATTTTTCATGGTTCGCTGCTGCAATCTTACTTCTAATTAGCGATTCTTACACCAGAGGGAAGCCTAACTGGGAGAGACGAAAACTAAAACGGCAGCAGCCGCAACTAAAACCGATAGACATGATGAACCGCGAGGACCAAAACCACACTACACCAGGTAGAAAACGAAAAGTAGAGGAAAATTTTCTGCAAGAAGTGAGAGTGTAGAAATGAAAAGCTGAAGATGCAAAAATCACAGTGGTATGAGTTCTTTCTACGACGAGACCATGAAAGTTTAATGTTGACGATGAAGAAGCTTATTACAAGGACGACACGTCGGCGAGGAGACACTTCAACCTGTGCTAAACCAGGACTGAAGGACGAGCAAGGAACGACTATTATGCAATCTATTCAACGAGAAGGAGAACTTCGAATGCGGACGGACATGACTGTCTGTGGTCCTGATCGTGAACGACAACGCACGTACGTGAACGCAACGATGAATTGACGACGGCGAGGTAAAAGTAAATTCAAGAACGAGTGGAAGAACCAACGTTTCGTACTTTGTATATTTGTGGTGACAGCAGCAGTATTAACTCTTTATTCATGCTCCCGTTACACAACATACATAGTTAGTTAGTACTCCTAGTGTCAACATCGTTTTCTCGAACTGTAGTCGGTGCTAAGCAAGCTGTTGTTCATGCACGGAGCCGTGTGCTATTTGTTCGTCCACAGAATGTTAATTTCACTTCCATTCGTTGCATTTTTTTGCACGGTCGTTGCATTCCAACAGAGCAATGGCAATCACATCAATCTATCAGCGCAAATCAACATGAAGCAAAATGTGCTTTTAGTTCCGATAACTACTTTCAGAATATTGATCAATCCACACCGCTGACGAAATTTTCCTGGTCCTACTCCGCCGGGTCATCCTTGCTCATATCGGCTGCGCTGCTCATGTCTATATTGGTGAACTTCTCCTCTTCGACACCCTCGTCTTGCTCCGCCGCGCGGATCAGGCTCGAGAGCCCCGTGTTGGTCGCCTGCTCCAGGGAATCCAGCACGTTCGCGTGGGTCTTTTTGCTGCCCATCTTCTGGCACACGAAGAAAAGCATGGAGGCGGAGAGTATTATCACTGCTGCCCAGAGGAAACCTGGGTCGATGCGAGAAAGTGAAAGATCATGCACTTTTTTCCTCAAAACCAAAAACTACAGGCTGCTCTGTCAAGAGACAACACACGAGTGAGTCTGTTTGGAAGAATAAGAACGATAGACTACAAGTACCAAATTCTCTCGATTACAGTGCACGACCATGACTATCAAAAGCACTATGTAAAGCCCACCTTTCAGGATCTTTTGCGATTTGTTCACATCGGCGAGGGGTCTTCTCACGAACAAGCTCGCGTTTCCGTAGCTAAGGCGGTTTTCCATGAGCGCGCCAGTTTCGCCAGCAAAGAAGGTGCAGTGGTGGGAACCGTACATGACAAATCCCGTACAGCCGATCTGTACGCACTTTTCTTCGCACCGTGTTTGCGACGATGCAGCGTTGATGCGCCCGATCTCCCCGTCCTCTATCATCGTCGACGGGTATTGTACGAATTCTTTCGTCATAAAAGCCGCACTATCCAGTGCAAATATGTCTGGGTCTGGAAGATGATTACGAAGTTTGTCATGCTTGTCTTCCATGACTTTGGGCTCTGTGTTGCGTATTCCGCAAGAGAAACAGCGTTTTTGCATGACAGAGTACATGTCATCGTTTTTGCATGTTGACACTGACAGAGTGCATGTCATACTTGCGGGTGCATTACAGAGTGCTATATTATATAACTGACTTGCATCACAACCTTTCAGACCCAGACATATTTGCGATGCATACGCATCAAACCGCGTTGGATTGGTGATTACCCGGTCGAGCTCCTCAATCGCGGTGTGGACCTGATTAGATTTGTGACGTCAAAACCGAATGTGTTCAAGCGAGCCCAGCATTACAAATCAGGCAAACAAACTACAGGCAGCAAGTATAGTAAGGAATATGATCATCTTGGAGGTAAAACTACGATACGGATTATAATCAGCATGGTATGTAAGTACCCACGTATGCCCTATCGGCCGGCTCATGTCCGCCTGTGTCTTCGGCAAATAGCGGAATCGCCTTTTTTCGTTGTACAACACCAGTTCATTGGGCGACACCGAAAAGAATTCAAAGGCGTACTGGGTTCCGTAAAAATTTCGTTGATCCAACAGCAGCGACGCGGGGGACCCTTCCGGTTGCGGGATCTGGTGTGGTAGCGATGATCATCGTGGTAATGGTATTGTTCGAAATAGGATAAACAGATGCGCTTGGCTGGTCAGAAACAGAATGTTAGTGTTACACTTACAGCTTATGCGCCTGCATGAAGATAAAAATCTTCGCATGATCATGTGTATTACTGGTACTGCATGAGAACCGAGAAGTATCAAAAGGGTATTATATCAAGTTCCATACCTTAGAGCACGAACTGGAGTCCCAGCCGAGGCCAAAGCTGAGGATCGCGACAAAGTATCGCAAGAAAAAACTCTTTCACTGTAAACTTGTCATGCAGAAAATGTATCTGAGAAGTATTTGTCTTGCTACACATGCAAGACAATGGATTTTTAGCTGTGTTTTCCCTTTGGAGTCTCGCATGGCAAATGTTCTCTGTGATGTAGAGCAAACTTGTGATGCAAAACTTGCAAAATCCTTACAGTGAAACACTTTTTTCGTCCGATACAAAGTGTATCTCGGGAAAGATTTTCGCCAATTGCGCAAAATGCCGGTACTGGGTTATGACCTGCTCAAACGTTACAATCTCAAACGTTACAATAGAATTTGTATTTGGATTTGGTGTTGCATGTTGACGAGCATGACAGACTCGGACAGCATTCCACTTTCTGCAATAAGAATTTCGCCAGATTGTAGTGCAGTTTGGGACGACTCCGGAGCTTGTCATGCGCAATCCTATGAGAGTTGGCTACATGATGCACCTCTTGCATCACAGATTTCGACATTCTATTGTAACGCTTGAGATTGAAACACCTGAGCAGGTGATATGGGTCCGGCTAAAGTCTGAGTCTGCGTCGAGGAACAACAGCGCGAGCGGGTATCAAGAAGAAAAATCCGGCCTCCCCATATCAAAAGAAAATTTCTGATGCTGGATTTGCGTACACAAATGAGGTCTGTCTTGCTGCCAGGAATTGCGGGCAGATTCTTAGGCTGTTTAGGTGCGCAACGGTCTAGCTGTTTAGCATGGGAAACGCCTGCCCCGTAGGCCAAGCAGCATGACAAATCGCATCCATAATGCGGCGCATCCCTCAGCGCTTGCCTTCTTGCAAGACAAAAATAATTTGAGACCGAAAATCTGCATCACAAATTTTGCGACGGATGCCTTTTCAATATGGGGAGGGGGGATTTTTCCTCACAATAGCGGGCCTTTCGCGTTCAGGGTCCGCGATACGCCGACGCAGGATTATGGAAGTGTCAGAACCGAAATTGACAAAGTCGAAAAATTTGTGATGCACAAAACCGCCGCCAGTTAGAGCCTCAGTTTCCAAGTGGCGCATGAGAAATTTCGGGAGCACCCAAATCCAGTCTGTCATGCTATTTGGGCAAAGAAGACTGCTCCTGTCATGCTACTCTGGCAGCATATTGTATAGCCCTACACAGGCTTGCCATCGGTCTCATTTGCCTGCTCCCCAATACAGGCCTTGCGGGCCCTACATTTTATGCATCGCAAATTTTTCGACTTTGTCGATTTCGATCCTGACACTCCCATAAGGATTTCAGCTGAAATAGCCCGTCATTTGGGAGCGCCAGGGGCGGAAACGAAGTTGGGTAGGCGGTGACGGGGGACACCAGTGAAGATGATGATGATGTTATCGTCGTTATAGTACAGCCTAGGAAGACGTGGGAGAGGAAAATCCTTAATATCCAGGACATAATGCCGGTTGATGTTCCAGATGAGGTCGTCGTCCCACGTGATGCCCGTGGGCCCCTTCTGTAGTGACCTCCGCCGGACACCTGCATTTTTGTTGTATCGATTCCCTCCTGCGCGGACGCGGCCTCAGATAGAGGCCAACACACGAACAAATGGATTACAGATTCCAGGACCCGGTTGCCGCGGCGGTATAGCAGTAGTTTGAAGCTTCTTCTATCTCAATAGGCAGCTGGGCCTCGTGAAGAGAGCCCCTTTTTCTTTGGAACGAAGGAATGTTGACCAACATCATCCAATTCTTGGTGGGAATTCCAGATAGCAACCTGATCCACGCAAAGATGACAGACCACGAAGGTGAATGATCAACCGAATCATTGCTATTCATACGTCGGACAAGCCGGTGGAAAAGATCTTTCTCAGAAGAACTCAAACTGGATTCCCCTCCTCCGGGGCTTTACTGTTCCCGACCGCAACAAGACCCCGCCGTCAAGAGGTTGGTAGAAAAGCACTTTCAGATTTGCACGAACAAATCATTTTTATTCCATGTTGTGTTTTACCAAGCCAACTACATTGAGAAAATTTTGGAAAGAAGATTTTCGCCCAGATTCGCGGGTCATCGTCCAGCAGGACCTCGCCCGTGCTGTGTGGTCCTCTATTTCTACATGTTTTATTCACAATGGTTCTCATACGAAAATGGATATTTATAAAATCTAAAGCTAAACACAATAGCACAACAATGTGGTCAGGTTGAAAAAGTTCTCGGCCGGTTCGTGGCTCTTCAAACGATAGCTGTCACGCCTGTGTATCGCAAACACTTCGGACGACCATGCCTGAACTTTCTTAGGCAACAGCTGCTGCACACGGAAATGTAAATGACAAAATGCTGACACTGAATTGACGTTGACCGGTATGTGATTGTCTTTGTCAGCATTGAATTTTGCATATATTCATAGACGAACGCGTGCAACGCGCAAGAAATAACGATAAAGCGAAAGCGAAACTAAAAGTGCATTTTTTTTCATATGACATTCGATTTCAACAAACTACAGCGCAACGGCACTGGTAAAACAAGTTGAATAAACTTGCTTCTGCAGTTTCTCGTGCAAGCTCGCATTTAAATTTGAATAATTTCGTCCGTTACAATGAGTACGCAATTTCATCGCGAAGGAGGATTCAAATTAGGATGCTGGCTTCTAACCACAGTGGCAGCCCGTCATTTGCATTTCTTTGTCTCAATAGTGTGTCTGTCTTTGTGTTTAAGCAACTTCATTAAAGCATCACGTAGTATGTAACTTCTTTATGCTTATCGTACAAGTGAAACTAGACTCCATCACTAGACGGTAGCGGCCGCGCTAGTGAAAGATAGAGGACCGCCTGCTTGTTCAGCAAAAAAGCGTTAATCGCCTAGTACTTCTGCGATTCCTCCACCGCTCCAGCTTTCGCCGCGCCCGCGTCTTCCAAAACCACCGAAGCCTTACTCAGTTGCATGGAGGTTGCTTCTTTGGAACTCACCCGGATATCCATGATTTTGACCGCCTCTTCTGGTTCGACGCCGTTCTCGCACGCGCCCCCGTTGAAGACGGACAGCATTACATCCTGTGTAAAATAAACTACGCGGCCCAAACCGACCTCAGAGCTGTCGTGCAAAGTACTATGTGCCTTCCTGAATGGTTTCTCATGCGCACCCACATTTTGAAATTAGGCTTTTTCTAACGCTACCTGAGAGCTTGTCATGCCAGAATCAGGATGAGGATGAGCTGGTCGATTAATCACATGAGGCTGCACTAGGTACACAAGATGGCAGTACAAACCCAAACACGTCAACATGCGCAACAGCCAAAATAAACTTGTTGATTTGTGTCGCTGCAACATGAAGATGTCCGTCTTGACAGCTCTAGTAGAGTGGGGACTCGTTTATCATTTTACACAGGATATAAGACCGGCAGAATGATCAAGGAATTGATGAACCCGAAAGGATATCAAACACAAACAAATATCAATATGTCATCTCGAAGGTCTGGAAAATAAGTGCACCTACCTGCTTTGCCATGCATAGATATGTTACATGACCAATGACGCTCCTCGTCTGTGATATGTGTCCTAGCATCACAAATGAAGATCTTCTGAGTGCTTTTTGATTTTGATGCCTATTCCGCAACGTGAGAAAGACTCAGACTCAGACATAGATACTTATTTGCAGTTGATAACAAAACGACCAGCACCAACACCTTGAAAAAGACGGAAAACACGTAGGATGCGGAAAACGCCAGCACAATCACCGCGAGCAGTGTGGACAAGAGCGCTATGCATTGCAAATATCCCTGGAAGATGTCTGGAAACTCGTGATGCAAGGAAGGGGATTATAGCAAGCACACTGTCACGCGCTGCCAAGCATGACAAGCTTTTATTTCGTGGCTCTGCTTCTGAGTTGCGTTGTCCGCATGAGAAACCGCGTTTTTGCAACATGACAGGCATAGGCGAGAGGAGCTCTCATTTGCGGCCACGCAACACAGATCCCAGAGTCATGCCAGACTAGCATGACAAACCTCGCGATCTCCTAGACATCCAGGGATATTTGCATTTGATAAGCGCGTTCAGCACCGAGATTCCGATCCGGTTCACCGCGTCAACTATGCAGTGCAAAAGTATCGCGCTGGCATTGCAATCATGCATTAGCATTACAAATCTTTTCCCCAAGGTAAATCAGCATTGCAGAATTTATTTCTCATGCTGAGAAAATTTGTAATGCATTTATACGAGTACGATACTTTCACAGTTCATAGCAATGGCTTTCTTGTTCCCCGTGCTCTCCACACTGTGGCGGAACATGTGCCCGATGTGCGCCGAGTAATCGACAGACAAACCGATGCATCAAATGCAAATATGTCTGGGTCTGGAAGAGTGCCAGACTTGTCATGCAGGTTTTCCATGACCCATGAGGTCTGGTATGTAGGACATAGCATGACAGATTTTGTGAGCGTTCTATCATGCCTATTCTGCATGAGAGACTGCCTCTCGATTAGGTCAAAAGTGAACAGCTTTTGGTAATCATGCAACACAGATTTTTCCATGATTCAGATTTAGCATGACAAGTTGGTTCCAGACCCAGACACTTTTGCATTTGATACGATGCAGATCACCGTGTAGATCGAGATCACGCCGTTGATCGGCTTATGGAAGCGTCAGAAGTGAAATCGATAAAGTTGAAATAATTTCTCATGCATAATTTGCGAGGCATGAAGTGCCTCTCTTGCAGGGATGGCAAGAGAAGCCGACTGTAGACCTGTTTGAGGTCTGCGAAAGAGCTGCTATAAAGTAGCATGACAAAAGACGCCTTCTGTGCCTAAAAAGCATGACGCGCTGGATTTAGACGGTGCCGAAATTTGTCATGCGCCGCTTAGGCTTAGAACATGGGTTGCCAACTGGTTGTATCGATTTTATGCATTACAAGTTATTTCTTCAACTTTGTCAATTTCAATCCTGACACTCCCATACGGCTCGCCTAACCAGTAGTAAAACCCGACCACGTTCAAAATGGTGGACAACACGGAAATATCCTGTGCAAAACTATCGCACTCGTAGTAATTGCAGTCATGCATTACAAATTTTTTTCCTAAGTTAAATCCGCATGACAAACTTTATTTCATCTCATGCTGAGGAAATTTGTAATGCATTTCTAAGAGTACGATACTTTTGCAATGCATAGGAAATGATCACCGGGATGTTTGCGCGGAAGGAGGGAATCATGCAGAGGATAATAGCGAGAATCACGCCGGAACAGAGCAACGCGTTGCGCACAAACTCCGGGCCCGTGTAGCCGACCTCCTCCCACCAGAGGAATTCGAAGCCAAAGGGAAAGGAATTCCCACCCGCGCAGAGGTTTGGCACTTCGGACCGGAGCGCCTCCATCGTGTCCCATCTGTCCGTGCCCTCGTTGATGTACTGCTTGCGCAAGATTCCGTTGGAAACGCGGACGGCCTGGAAGCCGCTGCTGGGCACCGCGGCGTTTACCCAGGTGAAGTCTTCCGCGGTGCCGGATATCCTGAGGAAAAACGTACCCACACCAGAGTTGTAATGCAGATTTGCAAAGACAGGAAGACTTGTAATGCGCATCTGCATGAGTGCCATTTCTATATCGTGTTTTGGAATTTGTGATGCTGTGGACAGGATGAGGAGGTGGATTTGTTATGCGGCTTCCCTTGCTAAACTGCACTACAATACAGCCTGCAACTTGTCATGCGTGACTCACAAAACTCCTAGGTTTGTGTTGCAAAATCCCCATCCTGACTCTGGTGTGGGTACGTTTTTACTCAGGATACCAGAAGCCCCGTAGGTACTCGTTTCCCATATGAATTGCAAAAGTGTCTGGGTCTGGAAGATTGCAACTTGTCATGGTAAATCTGAAGCATGCAAAAATCTGTGCTGCATGAGTGCCAAAAGCTGTCCACTTTTGACCAAGTTGGAACGGAGTTTCTCATGCAGCATAGGCATGGCAGAGGCCTCGCAGAGTCTGTCATGCTAAGTCCCGCATTCCAGACCTCATGGGTCATGGAAAATCTGCATGACAAGTCTACACTCTTCCAGACCCAGACGTTTTTACATTTCATATCCCAAGCCTTCACCTGGTCGTAGAAGGCGGTCAAAGTGCTAGTGGCGCTGAACGCCGTCACCTTCTTCACCCAAGAGTCCCGCATCTGCGCCTGGTCAAAGTACTTGCTGGTCTGCATGTAATTCTCCACGTTCGTCAAGCAGTCCTTCATGGTCTGTTGTGTGAAAGCGGTGCTGGGATTGCGAATGTAGATCGAGGCTCGGGTTCCCTGGCTGAAATAAGCGTCGCTCCAGTCGAAGTAATCCACGACGTAACTGTCCTCCGGGAAAAACCACTCGAGCTGAAAGTCCGCTTTCTGCTTCGCCAGCCCGACGGCGGAGAGGGACATGAAAATTGTGAAGATGACGAAGGCGAAGATTTTGCCGGGGGTAGTTAAGAGCATCCGGACGTTGAAATACATATGCATTGCAAAAGTTAAGTATTGTATCGTACTAGTATAAATTGCATGACGAATTTGGGCAAGCAGGAAAGTGGAATTTGTAATGCTGTTTCGCCCTGGGAGAAATGTTTGTCAAGCATATTTTCAATTACTAGTGCGAGTACAATACTTTTGCACAGGATAAGTCAACAGCTTCGGCAACATCGGCTCCGACTTGCACCCCGGTACGGAATTACTGCAGAATCCCGTCGGCTTGTCGAAGGGGTGCTCGCTCTCCGCTTTGCATATCAAATGTAAAAATGGCTGGGTCTGGAAGAGTCATGCTGTTTTTGCATGACACAGAAGGTCTGGCATGGAAGCTCTAGCATCACAGGTTTCGAAAAGCGTTCGCAATGCCGAATCCGCATGACAAAACCCCCATTTTG